ACTGAAATACTAGTTTAATGAACTGTTTTCATTACTGTAAAGACATTAATTCTTAACCCCTTTACGCATTGTGTTATTCACTGGGCTTTAGCTCACTGCTTATATATATATGTAGGTGTACAGGCACCAGACCGCAGCTAGGAGTGTCAGGGTAAACTCCAGTTTTGTCGAGCCAGCCTATGTGCCTCAATGCGAGGTTCCGAGCCTGTCTAGTTATGGCTTAGGGGTGTTTTAGTCCCCCCCCTTCTGTCTCTGTAACTGTTTGTTTACTGTACTGTACTATTTAATAGGGATTAGGTCTCTGACTGAATGATTGTATATATGTACATACTGTTTTGTCTGACTGTATATATTTGAATGAAAAGTCTTTTTGCATACAGATTATCACAGCTCATTGGACTTTGTTTATTTACTGTATTGGCTTCCGCCAGCCCCTGTACTCTATATTACTGTATTACTGTTAAGCAGGCCTTTGGTAATCTCGGATTACTGGCCGGTTACGGTGCTAAACCCATAGGGGCGGGTTTGGGTTGTGACAGATATTTGTCTCACCATGATTTAAGCATTCTAGTAAAACTAGAGGTAAGTAGAGAGACTATCTCAGGTTGAGTGTAGTGGGGATAATTACTAAGATAGCTATTTGCTACCATGGACATGTGATTTAATTTTTGAAGAATTTGATTTTCACTAAGTCCATCAATATTCCATTCATACAATTTTTTAGCAGAAACAGAAAATTGATTATTGATATTAGTTTCTTCAAATTGAAGATCAGGTGGTGTTGGTTTAGTGTACCAATTTTTGGTAAAAGTAGTAGGATTAACTTTTGGATATACTATTCTATTAAGATTAGTTGATTAAAATTGTTGTTCTAGTTGACTAATTTCATAGTAGTAGACGTGTTTGAGTCAGAATCAATTTGAATAGGTAGTTGTTGAGTTAATACAGTAATTCCTTTATCTTTGGAAGGTGTAGATAACTTGGTAAATAGTTTTTTAATGGCTTCAATCGTATTCATATCATGGGTGACTAAACTTAATCTATTCCTAGTCCTTGGAAGGTTAATAAGTGGTTTTTCCAAAGTTTTACTAGTTAATGTATGACTATTTGAATAATCTTCAAAAGTAGTTTCAATTTTATCTAATTGTTTACCAATAGTTTTTAAATATTGATTGGTATAATTATTTTGTTGAATAACTTTTTTAATTTCAGATTCATCACCAGGTATTTTAAAATAAGAAGCATTTATTGTGGAGCCTTTATGGTCAATCAGGATGGTTTCCAAAGGAGGATGACTAGACGAAACGGTAGTATTAGTGGAGGTTTTCCATTTAGTTCTGGTTATAGTGTTTATGTTGTGATAATAAATTTCAAATTAATCAAAGAAGTTGACTTTAGTACCTAATTTTTTCATAAATTTATACCATTTCTTGGTTATTTTGGATTGTTGTTGTTGATTATAAGTAGTCCTATAAGTCTGTCGTTTTAATTTATTATCTTTAGATTTGAATTCATCATAAAGTTTTTTAAGGTCAATTGTAAATTGTTTTTCGAGAGTTAATAATCGAGGATTAACAGGAGGAATGACTTCAAAATCCGTTTGTGTAGGTGATTCTTGAGATGTAGTTTTTTCATTAGGAATTTGTGTAGAGTAAACAAGTTTACTAATTTGAGATGTAGAAGAGGTGTCTATACCCTTTAGTTTACTATGAGAAATTTGAAGATTTCTATCTTTGCGAGTAAATAATGGTGTACTAAAAATTTCATCTTCTTTATCATTAGGTTGACTAGAGATACTATGTCGTGAAGATTGACTACAATTTAAATGATCAAAACGTATATGGACTGATCCATCATCATATTGTTGGATTTGATGTAAATCATTACTATCATATTGATTTTTATGGAAATAATTTTTATTAACTGTAATCCATCTATCTGGAAGAGCAATATCTTTCCAAAGGATGATTTTTTGTAACGCCCTCAAAATCATAACATTAAACCCATCAAATAAGACATTCATTGACATATGAAATAACCACATTCTTCTATTTATTAGAGTTTCATTACAAAAGTATTACATGTTAACAACAAAAGCAAAATGCCCTACGGGCTTACAGCTTTCCAAGTTAACACTTGGTTACAACAAAGAGTACTAACTCATTTACATTGACTTATGCTTTTTAATAGAGTCTTTAGTTAATATTTGACATGTTTCATGTACTTTTGTTAAAGTATAAACTTTTTCAATAGTTTTTATTTGGAGATCAATATTGAATGAAGATTTGAGAAAACTTGTTTTTATAAATTTCTTTAATTGGTGCTTTTGGTATATTCCATCCTAAATCTATTTTTAAATTTTGAAATTCATGTTCTTCTTCGTTTACTACTGTATTAGGTATGAGAGCTAATGTTGTAGATCTACAGCTGATTGAAGAGCTACTTCAGAATAATCGACTTATTGTTCTAAATGCTATATTCAAGAAATCTAAATTCTTGGATGACTTATCATATTTTCACATACTATGTTTTCCCTCATACCCTTTATGAGAACCCCTATATCCATCTACGGCCTATCCTAAGGACTTACACTGGATGTGAGACGAAAAGTGGGTGGCTACTAGTAAAGTGGAAAATGGGTGATAAGTTGGGAAGAATAAAGAAGACTTGAAGCAATTTACAGAAATAGAATAGAGAAGATGTAAACAGAAATAACTAATCAATAAGCTAACATCATCATCAACTTAGCTCTAATACCAAAATACAGACTAATTAATACTTTAAGTCTAATTTTTTTTTGGTATACGTGTCAATTTTTAAATCAGTTATGAAAGCTAATATTGTAGATCTAGAGCTGACTGAAGAGTTACTTCAGAATAATTGACTTATTGTTCTAAATGCTATAAATGGATTCAAGAAATCTAAATTCTTGGATGACTTATCATATTTTCGCATGCTATGTTTTTGCTCATACCTTTTCCGAGAACCCCTATATCTATCTACGGCCTCTCCTAAGGACTTACACTGAATATGGGACGAAAGGTGGGTGGCTACTAGCAGAGTTCAAAATGGGTGATAAGTTGGGAAGAATAAAGAAGATTTAAAGCAATTTACAGAAATAGAATAGAGAAGATGTAAACAGAAACAACTAATCAATAAGCTAACATCATCATCAACTTGGCTCTGATACCAAATACAAACTAATTTGGCTTGAAAAGAATTAATTGAAATCAATACAAACTAATTAGAGTTGAAAATAATTTTTTACAGACTAATTGTTTACAAACAAATTGTTTAAAGATAAAACACTACTAGCCACCCATCTTTCATTCCACATCTAGTGTAAGTCCTTAGAATATGCTGTAGATGGATATAGAGATTTTCGGAAAGGGTATGAACGAAAACATAATATGTGAAAATATGGTAAGTCATCCAAAAATTTAGATTTCTTAAATCCATTTATAGCATTTAGAAACATGAATCAATTATTCCGAATTAACTCTTCAGTCAGTTCTAAATCTACAACATTAGCTCCCATGCTTGATACAATATTTCCACTACTTATTCAAACTAATTGTTTATATTAATGTGTATCGATAAGAAGGATTAAAAATGTTAGCTCCCATACTGGATGTAGCTTGGATGATGAGTTAATTTTTTTAAACAAAAAAGAATAAAAAATCTAAAACGACGTGGATTAGTAAGACACAATCTCAACCTTCCATTCCTTTCATTTTGACGTGTGGCGCTCTCACTAAAAGCACTACAAATTACACCACAAAACTATCACTACGGTGGATCTTCACTCAAAATTCACTCACATGAATTTGTAAAAATTGAACTAGGTGACCTTAACAATTAAAATATATTCTAGCGTCCCTTTTCATATTATAAAACTGTTTTGGATTTTTTTCTCAAATTAATTTTTTTACACAATGTTTAGTTAGAAAATTTAGAGAAAAATTTGAAAAGAGAAAGAGAAAAGAAAAATATGTATAAAACTAAATAAAATATAAATATATTTTATTCATATTTCACTTATTTTTTTTATATTTCTTTCTAAATTTTTTATCAAACCTCCTAACAAAAAAACAACATTAAAGAGAAAAAACAGTTTCAATAACTATTTCTATAACCAACTAGTCTGTTTGTTAGAGCATCTCCAACGGTTCACCAAAATTTTCATCAAATCTGAGTAAAAAAATGATTTTTTTCTCAATCTGATACCGAATGATCCAATGATTCATTTTCATCAAATTTTTATCAAATCTGCGCTGGGACAACCGGTTGGTTGACCGGTGAAGGCAAATTTTTTTTTTTTTTTTTTTTTGAATTGTTTGAACCTTTTTTTTGAACTATCTGAACTTTTTTCAGGACAATCGGCTGGTCGACCGGTAAGATAATTTTTTTTTTTTAACTGTTTGAACCTATAACTTTGAACTGTTTGAACCGTTTTATGGTCGACCGGTTGGTCAACCGACTGGTCGACCGGTTTGTTTCCTCCAACGATAACGAACAGTGACTTGGTGAAACTTGGAGCGTGTTCTCATTTTGGTGAAAGATTTGATGAATTCTCGATTTGATATTAATTTGGTGAAATCGTTAGAGCACCAAAAAGTTACCTTTTTACTAAGGCCTCGTTTGGGAACAGGCTAATTTAGTAACTTTTTGGCTATTTGGCTAAAATATGAGCCAAAAAAAATTAGTATGTTTGGGATGACTTTTTGGCTAATTACGAAAAGATGTGCAAAAAGTAGAGAGAAAAGAGAATCTTTGACTTTTTGGTATGAATTATTGACTTTTTGACTAATTTAATAACTTTTTGACTTTTTAACTAAAACAGAATCTTCCCAAACGAAGCCTAAATTTTAAATTTACTACGAAGTTTAATAAAGCATCGGAGATGGTCTTAGCCAAACTATTGCATCATATATTTTTTTAAATTTTTTTTATAAGCTCTTCCTAAATACAAAAGACAGAAGGAAAAGAAGAAAATATGGAAATATAGATAGAGGACTTCCCACGCCACTCTCTCTCTGTATTTTTCTCTCTCTCACTCACACTCTCTCCTCTTTGATCGAGTCACTTCCCGAGATTTAGGTTTCTCTGTTTTTGTTGTTTCCAAATCCATTGCATACATATACATAAATATATATAGCCATGTCTCTACAATAAATTCATTCATTCATAGGTATAGGATTGTTCAATCTGTGAAAGATCAGTTTTTTTTTTTTTTTTAAATAAAGTTCAACACAGTTCTGGGTGTTTCAATTTTTTAGGGTTCTTCTCCTAATTCAGCTAAGGCCAAGATCTGTACGTTCATTTCTCTCAATTCCTTTATTACTGTAAATTTCATTAGTTCTTTAAAAATACTAAATTTATTTTCTGGTGAAAAATATTGGTTTTACTTTTGATTGGAAACAGTAAATAAAATCAATAATCATTCTTTGATATTTTGTGTATGTGTGTGTATGTTATTTTTCGAAATTCCAATTGGGTTTTTGTAATCTTGAAGTTAGATTACTATAATCTAGGTTTTTTTTTTTTTTTTGGGATACATCGGAAAAAAGAGAGTAATCTAGTCTTCAAATACTTGTATATCTTAAGATCATTTAACTTGTTTTTCTTATGTAATTTTTTATTCTTATCTATCCCCTTTTTTACATTTATTTATTTTTTAACATTTGTCACTTTTTCAGTTTGATATTACTTTTTAGTAGTTCTTTTCGTCTCGTTTGGGAACAGCTAATTTAGTAACTTTTTGGCTATTTGGCTAAAAAGGTAGGAAAAAAAACTTGTATGTTTGGGATGATTTTTTAGCTAATTACGAAAAGATGTGTAAAAAGTAGAGAGAAAAGAGAATCTTTGACTTTTTAGTATGGATTGTTGGTTTTTTGACTAATTTAATAACTTTTTAGCTAATTGACTAAAATAGCCTCTTGCCAAACGAGGCCTTGCATAACTGTCTAAAGGGTTAATAATTGTGTATAGTTGTGAGAATATATTCTATTCTACCAATATGATAACAAAATATAATATTATAGTCCTATTTGTTTCAGAACTTTTTGCATTTCGGTTCTTGTGAATTACTCCTGAAGCACTTCAACATTGGAGGATTGGTTCGTTCTGATTGAAGATGAGAACAATTGTTCGATCTGTTCGACAATTTCAATCAGTTTTTCGGCGTCGAGGATATACTATCTTAACTGGGTTATCAAGAAAACAAAATTATTTGGCTAGTACTTGCTGTGTCTACAGATTCTCCTACAATGGTGAAATTTGTAGATATTCATATCCATATATAATCTCAAGAGCTCTGTTTGCTGATGCTGCTAAAGTAGCTAATGGAGGTTGCCTTTTTATCCTTTTCAATTTTGTTAAATAATCTTTAGCATGATGTTGACATTTCGATTTGGGTTTTAATTTGATTTGATTGTAGAAGTAAGCAAAGCAGGGCCTATGATTGAGTATGAGCGTAGAATTGAAGCGGGTGATCTTGTGGATGGGGATAATTGTCAGGTATTGCAATCAATTCACTCTTCATGTTTGATTATAAGGTTTAAAGGAAAAGCTAGTAGTTTGTATGTCTCTTCCGAATTTTCTCCAGCCCAGAAGGTTACATTTCTCATCTTCGATCGGAATTTTCCTTGGTTTGTAAATGTTTGAAAATTTGTGCTCTCACTCCCTTACATGGCTTGTGTTTGTTAGCATTAATTAGTTTTGTTGTTGGTGGGGCAGTTGTTAGAATTAATGTGCTATTTGCTAGGTATCATTTGATTTGCTTTTAAGACCTAGAATTAATGCAATTTTGGTTCTTGGATGTGAAAAAGTACTTTTAAATGGTTACGCAGAAGATGTCTAAATTGTGAGAGTGATTTATTAATCCATATGTATTATCCAATTTGTTTGGTTTTCCATTATTTGAGAATCAAAAAGTTTTTAGAAGTGTTATGAAGGTCGCATCGAGTCATGTATAGGCTACACTCCCCAAAGGCCTGTGCATCACAGTTTGAGGCGTGCACTTCACATACGCCTGGTATGCCTTTTACTCATAAGCATGTGAGGAGTACGTATAAGGAGAACTTGTTTTGGGCTATTGTTAACTTAATCTAATATATGGTTTAAACATAAAAACCTCTTTTGTAATTATATTCCATTGGAAAAAAATCAATCACATGACCAAAAAAAAAAAACACACACACAAAGCTAACTAAGGCTTAATTGAGAAGCTTGATAACTAAAACTAAGAATGGTTTTTTTTACCTTCGATGAGGGCAAGCTTCTTTATTTATAGTGAAATGTTCAATGTATTGAAGAAAAATGTATTCACACCTTTATATTTAATTTTTAACATTTTTTTTTTACTATTGTAAAATATTTTCTACATGTACTATATAAAAATATAAAATTAAAAAATGCTTACGCCTTGATGCCTTGAAACATACACCTTGCTTCATGAGGGGTTAAAATGCATTGGGTTACGCATTCACCTTTGAAAACTTTGCCGGGGATATACTGACAGTGATTGTGTAGGTAGGCACCATAAGAGAACTTCAGAGACTTTATGATGAACTTGCCAATTCAGCTGAAGTGTGCCTGGTAGATCGGTATGCAGCTTCTGAGAAAGCTAGCAGGTAATTCATTTGGTTTCCTGATTCCTAAATCACTTGCTAATAAGGCAGATCATGATCTTCTTGTTTGCGTTTTACTATATATATATATATTTTATGAACTGGAGTTGTCAATTTTTAATAGAGTTTATAACTTCATTGTCATTGATTCACTGTTTCTTTCATTTTTAGGAGTAGGTGGTTGTGGTCCCGTTTCATTCCACAGTCTTCATACTCACCTGTGAAAGGACTCTATCTCTATGGAGGAGTAGGCACAGGAAAAACCATGCTGATGGACTTGTTTTTTGATCAATTGTATGTTTGATGTGCATAATTAATTTGCCTTATCGATGACCTTAAAATTGACTTGAATATGAGAACATGAGCTACCCATCAATTGCAAATCATAAGCATAATGCCGAGGGAATACTAAGCAATTATTATTCACTGTTTTTTTTCTTGTAATTTGTATTTATACTTTCAGGCCTAGCAGCTGGAGGAAAAAGAGGATTCATTTTCATGATTTCATGTTGGATGTCCACAGCCGCTTGCAAGTAAGAATTATCTATATTTCTTCTAAATGCAAACTAGATAGGAAGTTTGTCACAAATTGACTATTTTGTTTGCCGCTTGTCATTCGCACAAGTAATTGACACTAGTACTAACAATTAGGTCAGTGTTTTTAATGAGCCAGTGAGCGTCTCCAAGATGAGTTGCTAGCTAAATGTCATACGACAAAAATCTTGGATACATGATCTTCTTCTCTAGCCGTTCATTTCACTGAATCGGTGGTCAAGATAGCTAAATCTTAAGTTCATGGACTATGGCTCCTGAAAAATACTTTCAAATTTAGTCGAAAATATCTTCTTTTGGACCAATTTTCATCTTCTTCTTGGCGACTTTACTTGGAAATAGGTGGTGTGTACTGAAGTATAAATTTAATGCTATAGTATTGTATAATTGCAGAAGCATAAGGGTGTGTTGGATCCCCTTGAAGTTGTAGCAGGGGAGATATCTGATGAATCAATTTTGTTATGCCTTGACGAATTTATGGTATGTCGGAAGTTGAAAATAGCAGCATCATTTCTGTATTTTATCATCATGGATGGTATCTACTAGCCTTTTACTCTGTGTTCCTGTTGTTAAGTTCCATTTTTCTATTTTTTTTTCATAGGTGACTGATGTTGCTGATGCATTGATATTAAACCGTTTATTTGGACATTTATTCAGCAATGGCTTGGTAAGTAGTTTGATCTACTAATTTTTCTATGTTCTCAGCCCTCTAGGCTCTATGCATTCAACATGTGGATTTTTGACTGAGAAATAAAACTTGTATTTGTCTGCAAGTATAGATTCTTGTTGCTACTTCAAATCGTGCTCCAGACAACCTTTATGAAGGCGGATTGCAGAGAGATCTTTTTCTACCATTCATTTCCACGTTGAAGGTGTGCCTGTAGATGAGAAACTTAAGGCCTCATTGACCATGTATATGTTGAATTTTTTTATTTTACTTTTTATTTAGTTAAGCTTGGAAATTTATTTTGATGTAGGAAAGATGTGTAGTTCATGAGATTGGATCATCAACAGATTACCGGAAAATGACTTCGGTAACATTATTAACTCTCTTCTTCTTCTTTTTTTTTAACTCGTTAAAGCATCATGTTTGCATTTTCACCTTGTAATTTCTTCTTGTATAAATTCTTCTCGTTATATTTCACTTGAACTTTAGGCTGAGCAAGGTTTCTACTTTGTTGGGAAAGAGCTAACTGGCCTTCTTAAGCAAAAGTTTCAACATTTAGTTGGGGAACACACAGCACATCCACAGCAGGTGGAAGTTGTTATGGGAAGGACGTTACAGGTATTTGATATAAATCCCTCTGATGTAGTACACTACAGAAAATAGAAAGAGAATAGAGAAGGGAGAGGAAGAAGGGGGTCACAATCCTAACACAAATGGCCCCAACTTTAAATACTCAATATCAATAATCCAAAGCTAACTATTACAATGCAATGAATTAATATTTTTAGGCTAGAAGGCCTAATGTAAAATAGGAAACTGACTATTAATATTATTTGGAAACTTAACCCTAATAGAAAAAGGAAACTGAATGCCTAGTAAAATAGAATACTAAATAAAAAAGGGCGTACCTAGTGCACGAAGCTCCCGCTTAAGCGGGGTTTGGGGAAGGGTTGATCTACGCAATTTTACCCCGCAAGCAGAGACGCTGTTTCTATGACTCGAAACCATGACCACCAGGTCACCAATGGGGAGCTTTACTGCTATGCCAGGCCTACCCTTCAAAAATAGAATACTAATGAATATTAATAAAATTTCTAATGACCCTAAAGCAGAAAAAATAAATAAACATAAATATTACAATTTGTAAAATTATAAATAAAATCTTCACCAACAATTGGTGTGTGCCCATTCTACATCACCCTCAGTTTATTAAGTCATAAAGACAGGGAGAGCAGTTTTATTTTATTTTTCTTCCACTGTTCAGGTTCCTGTGGGTGCTAACGGATGTGCATATTTTCCTTTTGAAGAACTGTGTGACAAACCACTTGGTGCTGCGGACTATTTTGGATTGTTCAGTAAGTCACTTCTAGCTTGAGTGGGTTCAAACCTCAAATTCGTCTTCTCCTTAAAATTCAATACCCAACACCAAATTGTTGGGATGAATCTCTATTTTGTCAACTTCAGTGATTGAGTATCAAGAATAAAGTCCAATAGAACTTTGAAAATGGGTATGCTTCCCATGTTACTGATGAGGGTTGAAATCCCCTCCAGTTTGCCCAGTTCATTGGCTTAGAAGGTGGCCTTTGAACCTTAACTTTACCTTCCTAACGTGGGTCTAAAGGGCCTTGCCTAGGATGGGTTCTTGATTACAAAAAAATAAAAAATACAATAAGAGGAAGAAAATGAATACTTCTCCTAAGTACTAGGCTTATAGCTTCCATGATGCTCTTTCTAAACTTAAGTGATTTTACATTCATTGCAAAATCTTTCCGTACCTATCAATTATTATGCTTGTTTTTTTTTCCTGTTACAATAAATTATTGTCCAATGGTATTCCTTTCTGGCAGAGAGGTTTCATACGCTGGCTTTAGATGGTGTACCAATTTTTGGACTCCACAATAGGACAGCAGCATATCGGTTTGTCACTCTAGTTGATGTTAGTCTCCTTTCTTCCAAATTGTTTGATTATTTATGAGCTTAATAATTTAGACATAAGTACTTGGTACTTGGGTTCCATTTATGCCCTAGAACTCCACAAAACCTTACACCTCTTGGAAGGGACATAGCATAAAATCAAAATGGTGCTGCGGACTATTTTGGATTGTTCAGTAAGTCACTTCTAGCTTGAGTGGGTTCAAACCTCAAATTCGTCTTCTCCTTAAAATTCAGTACCCAACACCAAATTGTTGGGATGAATCTCTATTTTGTTAACTTCAGTGATTGAGTATCAAGAATAAAGTCCAATAGAACTTTGAAAATGGGTATGCTTCCCATGTTACTGATGAGGGTTGAAATCCCCTCCAGTTTGCCCGGTTCATTGGCTTAGAAGGTGGCCTTTGAACCTTAACTTTGCCTTCCTAACATGGGTCTAAAGGGCCTTGCCTAGGATTGGGTTCTTGATTACAAAAAAATAAAAAATACAATAAGAGGAAGAAAATGAATACTTCTCCTGGGTTCTTGATTACAAAAAAATAAAAAATACAATAAGAGGAAGAAAATGAATACTTCTCCTAAGTACTAGGCTTATAGCTTCCATGATGCTCTTTCTAAACTTAAGTGATTTTACATTCATTGCAAAATCTTTCCGTACCTATCAATTATTATGCTTATTTTTTTTTCCTGTTACAATAAATTATTGTCCAATGGTATTCCTTTCTGGCAGAGAGGTTTCATACGCTGGCTTTAGATGGTGTACCAATTTTTGGACTCCACAATAGGACAGCAGCATATCGGTTTGTCACTCTAGTTGATGTTAGTCTCCTTTCTTCCAAATTGTTTGATTATTTATGAGCTTAATAATTTAGACATAAGTACTTGGTACTTGGGTTCCATTTATGCCCTAGAACTCCACAAAACCTTACACCTCTTGGAAGGGACATAGCATAAAATCAAAACATTATAATGTTAAAAGCATATTTTTATCTCCAACCGGCTTCTGTGTGTTTTTAACTTCACTGTATTTACAGGTGATGTATGAGAACAAAGCCAGATTGATGTGTACAGCTGAGGGGACTCCTGTTGAACTTTTTGAGAAGATTGTGACAATCTCTGATGCTCAACACAAGGCTCCCAGAACTTCTTCAAGATCGAGGAAAAATGATGATTTGGATCTTTGCGTGGACAATGAGTTGGGCTTTGCAAAAGATCGCACTATTAGTAGGTATGATGTTCTGCAATACTTCTTTTTTTTTTCGTTTTTGGATATAGCATATAAACTTTTATATAGATAGAATTCCTTCTTGTGGCCGTTCTCCTATAGCCTTTACTTTGAGCCATCCATTTTGTTGCCCAACATAAATTTTGATAGACTTAATGCAGTCGTATTTCTTAAAACAATTTACTTCATTTGGGGTCGGAGGACATAAAAGATGGTTGATTGGTGAAATGCTTGGTACAACAGTTGAAAATGGTTGCTGACCCTCCACAAACTTAGATGAAATTGTTTATCTAACAAAATTTTTAACATAGATGAAATTGAATATATAACCAAACTTTTAATGGTGGTTCAAAAAAAACAAAAAGGTTTTTAACAGTATGACTATGTTCTTTTTAAATGTTCTTGCAACGAAACATGTGCTTAAAAGAAATATAATTATTTTGAAACTTACTTTCTAAACTTCAGAACCCTAAGCCAGTAGCTCTGTAGTTATCGAGAGCACACTATTCAAGAGATAGACGTAAGAAAGTTCCAAAAAAAGAACTAGCTTTAGATTTGGGAGATAGTTGGAAAACTTTCTGCTTTCTCATATCTGAAATAGATTCCTAGTTTTTAGTTGGAAGAAAATGAATTTGCCCCATGCATTCAGAGAGCCCTTGAACATTGGCTTGCATTTGGAAAATCCGGTTTATTTCAATTTTCTGTCGTTGTATCCTTCTTTATTTTTACCTTCTTCACTTAGAATGACCGATAAAGTTTCATTAACAGCAACCAACTAGGCCTAGTCTAGTTGGCCACCATACCTTCCTTAGGGCTTAGTCCTAAGGAGGTCATGGGTTTAGTTCCCCTTAGGAGAGTTGAATTAATGGAGTGCAAGCACTTAGGTGCTTTGCCAAATGTGGGGAGATTTTGTCCCATAGATACCAATCTAACAACTAACAATTAACATTTCTTGATAAAAAAAAGAAAAGTTTCATTAACAGCTCAAGCCTCAGTTTAATTCCTACTTCGAAAATAGCGAAGACAAAATCGACATAGCTTCCTTTGAGCCCATTTAGTATTGTTTTCGAAAACAGTTTTCAGTTCCTGATGCCAAAAAAAGAAAGAAAAAAAGTTTCGGGGTTTGTAAGAGAGTCAAATCTGGATAGTGGTTGCACATATATTGTCATTCTGACTAATGATGGTGACTATTATATATTGCAGATTGACAGAGATGAATAGCAAAGAGTACTTGGAGCAGCATTCTGCCATGCTAAGTTGAGAAGCAGCTCTCACATGAAGATATCGATGCTGTGATCGATGAGAACGCCTTACGAGCAAGCATGATATTGTGGGAACTTAAATATTGGTCCAATACCGGTAAGACCATTGTTGTCGGTAAGATTGTATGTTACATGGCTTTGTATGTTACATGGCTTGAGGTTCAGTGGTTTTGGCGGCAAACCGGATATTCATATAATTGAAGCTCTAATAATTTTGTTTGTTGAATAGAATTGTAATTGAGCCCTTGTAACAATAGTTTAATGTAATAAATGTAATACAAGTTAATTCCTCAAAAAAAATAAATAAAATGAAAAAAAGAAGAAAGAAAGAAGAGATGTTCAAGTTGTTTCGATTTCATCAATGACATTCACTGTCCAAGCAAAAATCAATGATTGATAACTGTGGACTAGCTGTGAGCAGTGGGTTGTTAACTGTTATAAAGGGTATATGATTTTATTTTATTTTTTACTCTAGTCCTTAATGTTAGTAATTTTTCCCAAATTTACTACCAGAACAAATTTCTATCTAATTTTGGACAAAAAAATGGCTTGTGGTGATAAAAAAGATAAATTATACTTTGCCCCTTTTAGTTTCACAATTTTCTCCGTTTGGCTTTTAAAGTATTTTTCATTTTTTCATTGACTCTAAATGTTTGTAATTTCTCTCAATTTACTTTCAAAACGAAGTACCATTATTGCATTTTGAATGAAAAAAATGCTAGTTGGTTGTTATATTACATAATTAAAAAGTAGTTTGATATCAATACTAAAAAATATAATTTTGAGCCTTCAAAAATATTTCTACCTCAAAAATGAGAACCGTATGGAGGTGTCTTTGAATTTTTTCATATCTTTACGAAACTAATTCTTAAAATTTAAATTATTATATTTGTTATATTTTTTTTTTAATAAAAGCTCAACTAAGTACAGTGTGATGTTTGAGTATATGCGGATGATGGTTGTGGAACGTTGAATGAAACAAAGAGAGGCAAAAGAGGAGATGAAGGTTGGGGCAGAGAAGGCTGTGAAGGATTAATAAAAGTTTAAGAGTGAATTTGAAAAGGAAATACATGGTCATACAAAAAAAAAAAAAAAAAAAAAAAAAAAAGGGAGAAAAAAAAAAAAAAAAAAAAAAAAAAAAAAAAAACCAACCATGAGTATTCAATCAGATGAAAATTGAAACACCAAAAGTTTATGTAGGAAAGCCATCTAGAAACTTGAGAGAAGATTTCCCATTTTTTTAGATTTACATGTAGATTTTAATATGTGAATTTATTATTTAATGGATCCCGTGATAATTAGCGGTGTTTTTATAAATAAAAAGAAAAAACATCACTGATTATTAATTTTTACCAATAGTTTAAAAAATTTATCACATGATAATATCAGTAAGTGTTAATTTTTAGCGACAGATTTACAAAAATATCAAAATTGTCAATTTTTATCGGAGATTCTGTTAGGACTAATTTTCAAAGATGAATTGAAAAGACTTAATAGGAATTAAGTCCAACTATTAAGATTTACTGGAAATTTATCTTCTTTTTTTTTTTTTTTGGATTTGTAGCATTGGTGTTAATTTTTTAGACTTATGTATAAGTCCTACTAGGTGAACTTATTATCCAATAGATTTTATGATAATTAATGACGTTCTTCATCAAATACTATTAAAAAAAGTCATAAATTGTTAATTTTCAACGATAGTTTAAAAATTGTCTAAAAAAATGTCACTAATTATAAATTTTGACGACAGATTAAAAAATTCGTCACAAAAAAATACATTAATTTTCAACTTTCAACAACAGTTTAAAAAAGTTCATAGAAATGTCACTAATTATAAATTTTAGCGACAATTTATAAAATCATAATAAAAAAAATCACTAATTGTCAATTTTTAAAGACAAGCAAAATATCGTCACAAAAAATTATTTTTAACTACTATACTCGTTTGAGAACTAAATATTTTAAACAAAAAGCTAAAACAATCACTATAAAATAAATTATCACATCACTCTATATTTTTCTGAACATTTTTTCGTAAAAATTCAAAAAGTCACTAAAATAATCTGTTCCTAAACGAAAGTACTTGATAAAAAAATTAAGTCCAACTATTAAGATCCATTAGTACTTTTCCAAGTGTTCACTTTCATCAATATTATCAAAAATAATTTGAATGGTGTTGTTATCAAGCCAATTCAAAATACTTGACCAATCAAAAACAATTATAAGTGAAGAGTATATTTGCCATTCCAACATATAAATACTCGCAACCAATCGAAAAATAATATGAGGAGTTTTTGTTAATCCACCTTAAAACACGAAGCCACGTAAACATTGAAGTTTGGAACCCTAAAACGCATCTGCAGTTTTAACTAAATGCCTGCAAATACAAGCACTGCATATTTGTATCATCATGTCAAAAACCTCCACATTCCTTCTTGTGTTTCTTCCAATGACAAGCATGTGTTGAGATGAACACGAACAGACCATAACTAGCGTTGGAACGAAATCGAATAGGAACCAGTATTTGGATCTTGAACGGCTTTGAAGTTGTCGATGCTCATCCCAAACCGGCCCAAAACAGAGTTTCCCATGTCTTTCAACTTATCTGCTCCACATAAAAATTCGTAAGTTCACTTTTTTTACATAAAGAGAAACTGTAGAATTGCAAAATGTCATGTGCAGCAGCAAAATGTTGTCTTCATCAAAGACTTGCAGTTCCCAACCCAAGCAAAAATAATAAACAATGAAACAGAAAACCAGAAGCTGTAAGGACTTGCCCAAGCTTAACTTTTAACATTGATTACAGATGTTTGTAGAATGGAATATAACAGTACCATTCTATCGTACACAAGTTTGTAAAGGTAGCATCAGCAAATTATAGTGAAAACTTCATCTCCAGCTACACGGAAAAGAAAAAGAAAACACCAAAAGAAAATATTCTTGAACCTATCCATGATTCCAAATGGCTCATGAGCAAATAATTTAGTAAGATACATTTTTCCCAAGGAGAAGGCAAATATTGTGTGTTTTTTAAGAGACATCAAAACACCAGTGTAATTAGAGAAAAGTAAAAAATTTGAAAATGCAATTGTGTGGGAAGTGCGTGCAACCTTGGAGACCAAAACTTACAAGTACTTAACTGAAAAGAGTATGAGGTCTTCTATGTGCAAGATACAAGGATGCTGGAAAAAAAAAAGGGTGAAATCATTTGGAGCGCATTATTGACAAAGTCATTTCAACATTTTCCCAGACAATAAAAAAGGTAAGCGAGGAGCAAAGCATTTTTGTTTGGTTTGTCATTCTCAAAACTGTTTTCAAAAAATAGACTTATGAATACCAGTTTTTGTTTGAAACATCAGAATTATCTGTTCATGTTCCTTTTCGTTCTTGCAATCACGTGAAGATGAGAAAGTGACGCAAATAATGGACCATAAGTTTTAAGGAGAACTTCAGCCAGAGAATACGTGTTAAAAGTAAACAAGAGCATCAGTTTGAGAATTATTTTATTTAATATTTTATTAGTTTGGTATTTGTTAATCATTTCTGTGTGGAAATTATCACCTCTGCAACACTGGCCCGGCAACCTACTTCACTTGGTTCGATCCCAACTCCCTGCTTCATGGCCTATGCAGATTATGAAGCAAAAGTGATCATCTATATTTACTCATTCACTTTAGCAGCCTTCTAAAGTAGTGTTAGAGAAGAGCTAGCCTTGCTATTGTGGTACATGTGTCTCCAAGGTTGCACGTTATGTCAACGGTACGCCACTGTCATATCATCATCTCCACAAACTAGAAACCCTCATGTCAGCCTTGTAAAGTGATACCTAGACCAATCACATATGTCCACATGCTCTCCCCCTCCAGAGTCAAGCCATGCTTCCTGAGGTTAACATACCTCAATCCTAAACACTCAGTGACAATTATCCAGAAGCACTTGTCCACTTGCCTAGACAAGCTAAAGGCACCCCCTCGGCTCGGCTGAGCTAACTTCCTCGCTAGTGCGTCACTTCCCCTGCACATTAAGACACACTCAATACCCCTAACTCGGTCATTCTCCACCCAAGCATGTCTCTTCTATGCCTCAGTTCCTTATCTCCAATGTTTGGTCCAAAAGACACACAAATGATCTCACGGAAGTCTAAGTAGGGAGAAGGGTCAAGGAAACCCATCGACGTTGGTGACACAACCATGGGGTGCTCGACTGACCCCATAACCCTCACACAAGACCTCCAAGGATATGTGGCTTGGCGGCTAGAGTTGAGCATCTGTACCAGCATTACAAAGACAAAGATCTTCACTAGAAGACATTCTCCAAGTGCAGACAAGGACATGTTATGCGCTCAATGCTTGCCTATACTTGTGAGCATGCTCAACTACCTCTGCAACCTCTGAGAATTTTCGTGCCACTGCCAATAGTAGCTTTCTACCTCCGACTTGTCAAGCTAGGAAGGGTGAGCCATTTGATCCCTTGCCAGTATGTGATACTGGGCACAGATCCCTTGCCACTTGATCTCTTGACCCCTTTATGAGAGCCTTAGTTCTTACCATCCACCTCTAGAGGTCTCACAACATTTGAGGGTCTACTATACTGCCACGAGGACTTTGCAAACGATATACTCCCATCTGCACATATTCATCTTGCCTATGCAATAATACAAAACATTTTTCCTTCTTTTACAAGAACTATGGGATTTGAAAGCTCCTATTTCATTAATATTGGAACCAAGCTAAGAAGCACGAACATAGACACAAGGATACGAACACAGGCAAATAGCATGGACATAACAATGTTTAAACAATGTAGGACATGACATGTGAGGGACGCACACAAAATATATAGTTTCATATATTTATTTAGTTATTTTTTTGATAAATATAGAGTTTCATATATTTATTATATGCCATATATATATATATATATTTCATTCAAAGATAATTAAGAAAAAAATACAACGTAACACTATTTATCATAAATCTATGGAGTTTTTCTTTTATCATTGAATTGCAAGTTATTTTTGTTCATACTTGTAATGCGTTTCATGTGTGCTCAAGTGATGGACATGTGTGTCCCCCAATTGGCCGAAGTGTGTTCGGGTCAAATTTAAAAAAACAAAAAAATAATGTGACGCGCTTTCACGTGTGTTTGACATGTGTCGGGAAATGTCCAATGAGTGTCAACAATGTCCGACACGGATACACCACCTTCTTAGTAGTGTTCGTGCTTGTTAGGCTTTTTTAAGAAAACTTTGTTTCATTTGCTTATTAATAGAGCTAAACCCACGGAGGATAGACAACCAACTTAAAAAGTGAAAGGGAGCTCATGTTAGTTTGGATGTTATGATTCTAATCCATTTTGACCTGCCTTTCTGTTCCATGAAGGAATTCATCTTACTTGTATTAGTTCCAGCAGTTGTTTTTCTAAAATCAGGAAGAGGAAATAGGAAGGGAAAAAAACAAAAGAACTAACAGATTCTATCAATCAAAGCACATGAACATGAGAAGCAAAAATGAGAAACCTAACTCACCAATCATCTCTTGTTTCATTTTTTCACGTTTTTCTGCAGCCAATGGCTCCAAACGTTGAATGGTTCTCCTAGCTTGGACATCTGATTCATCTAGTTCCAAGATTTTCTTCATATCTGTAGGACAATAAGGGGAGAAAAACATAAAATGAGATGATAAAAAAGAAATACCAAGGAATAGGATCAGAACATCATATAAGAAAATGACTCCAATATTCTGTCACCATAGCAGGCATGTGTAGTTAGTTATTCTGTGTGTGTATGTGTGTGTGTGAGAGAGAGAGAGAGAGAGTGATATAATAGTGCACAAGTATTGAATTTAAATTTACCTGCAATAGCCTCTTCAAAGTGTTCAAGTTTTTCATGAGCCTCTCCTCTTCTACGTAGAGCTTTCACATAATTAGGGTTCAGTTCTAATGCTTTTGTGCATTCCTTTATTGTGTCCTCATTTTTTCCCTGAGATATGTCCCACACCCAAAAAAATTAGAAACAATCTCAGCCAGGAAACCAACAAATGCCCTGACAAACAACCTGGACTGAACAAACAAAAGAAAGCGATAGTAGAAGAAACAGCAATTGCAACAGATGGAATTCAAAGAATTAAAAGCTGTTTCTTCTCTCTCTTATAAAAAAAAAAAAAAATTTAAGAAAAATAAAATATAGGAAACAAAGTTTCAGCCCCAGAATTTAAAGGAACAACACAAACAATTCAAAGGATAACTATTGTAAACATACAATGCCATTTTTATTGGAGAAAAAATTATATTGTCAAAGATATCAGAAGATATGGAAGATATCAGAATATATAGAGATCCTATATTTGTGCAGACTATGATTATTTGTATCTTTGATTTATTTCAATTCCTTAATTAAAAGGATTTGATTGTATCTCGTACTCTATATATATGGTATATCATGTAAACAAGAGTATTAAAGTCGAGTGAATGAAAGATGTAGCCCCTAGGGTTTTGTGTGTGTGAATGTAGGCCAATATTGGCCAAACCAAGTTAAAACTTTGTGTTCTTTCTTTTCTCTTTCTTGTCTCTATTTTCTCTCCATATTCAACCTTATTGCCTTAATTACAAAATTCAACTATTTTCACACAGGGTAGGCTTTTTAGGCTAGAAAAACAGCCATTAGCCTTTAGCAACCCCGATGAGCTAGGCTAATTTTAAACATCTTAGCACAGCTCAGCGTTTTTATCTTCTTCCAGCAAACCCAGTTGCTGTTCAACTTTATCAGCTTCGTCATTGAATTTTAAGAAGAATATAATCATTTGTCCATCAAAAGACACCAATACCGACTTGACCCAAACTTCCACAATAACAAACATCAAATTTGAACTCTACAGGGTCAATAGGGGCGTTGGACATTAATGAAACCACCACTGACAACCTCTAATAATTGTGTTAGAATATTATCGATCTATTTTCTCCAATTGTTGGTGTATCTAGGATTATTTGGTATTTTCAAGGTGGTAGAGATTGATCTCTTTTCCTTTCCTTCAGGATTCATATTGAAAAATTCAATGTCATTGTTTACCATTTTTTACTTATTTAAAAAAAAAATTAAAAGAGAGAGAGAGAGAGAGAAGAAAAATGTTAATCTTTGCCTTTTCATCCTTCCTTTGCCTTTGACTAAAAAATATTTATTGTTTCCTTTTTAAAGAAGAAAAACGTTATTCTGAAGTAAAAATAAAAATATGTGACAATTGCATTATGTCGGGTGTCTAACATACTCATTAGCAGTACCTAGAGGTGGTATCCTACATTTGTAAAACAGAAAACTCAATTGCAAAATTGATTGTGTAAAATAATCCATAGCATAATGGTTATCCATGACCAAAGAACATACTAGTTTGAAGAAACATATTGCCCGGTTTGCATGGCATATTGAGCGTATTTCAACAGATGAGGGCATCTCTGGTGCAACTTGTAAAGCAGCTTCATACCGCACCAATGCCTCTTCATACTGCCCATCTCCAAAAAGTCTATTACCATCCAATTTTGCATCATTTGCTTCAATCAACGCTTTCTGCTTCACAAACAAGAAAGGAAAGATTCGCAAGTTTAACCTTATAATGCTACACAGAACAATGCACGATAGAGCAGCTGCTTCCACTAACCACAATCCATTGACAAGACATATATCAAGATCACAAAGGTAAGCAAACATCTCAAATATTAAAAACTCATGATTTAACCATTATCTACGAAATAGTATCAAAAGAAGAACATTAATTCCATGATTTAAACATCTATTTATCAAGAAATATCAACAAACAAATCAGCAGTCCAATCAGAGTCCCCAAGCATAGACCTGTAGATATACAAACAAATAAATAAAATAAAGCAGCGTAGAACTGTAAATGTATACTTGTAAAGCAGCATACTTAAATGTAGATCATCACTGTTCTTAATTGAGTTTGAAAACGTCTAAGTGGGCATTCCTACTTTACATCCAAAAAAAAAAAAAAAGGCAAAAGGTAGAAAATCATTGCAATCAATATAAAAAAGAGAATTTCAATTAAAGATCTCTTGCCTCGACTTTTAAATTTATTATAGAAAGATTCCCCTGGTGGCATAACAAGTTCTATTGCTTCGAAACAATGGCCATCTTTCACAAGTGCCTTCTTGCATGCCCACGTTTTCGCATGGCAATTGTCAAATCCAGAGAGGCTGATCAGGGTTGTGAACAAGCAGGGAGAAGTTTTGTAGGCAGGTCAAGAAATAAATTGTTGAGCTTGGTTCAATAATTTCTAGAATGCAGCAGTAGCTTAGTTTATCCTGTAGCATAGACTTTTATTTATTTATTTATTTTTTTATAGAATTTTGCAAAATGGTTTATCTTGGACCCAAACACTATAACAAGTTCACGAGCATCTTTGAAAAAGGGGGAAAAAGTAGAAAAGAAAAGAAAAGGAAGAAGTATTCCACGTAGGGCTTTTTGGATTGAAGTCAATGGCATGGTTTCTTTGGATAAAGAAAAACAGACATAAAATTCATTCACACTTGCAAACCAATTCAATATTCAGCATAACTATATGGCCCTCAATTGAACAGGTTCTATGGTTTCACATAAATCTCCAATTGCCAAAAACTTATCAAGTTATATTTGAGCTCTACTAAAAAATCAACCAACTTCACAGTGGAACTTAGCTTAGCTCATTTATGTATCAATGATCTCAAGCAACTAGACTAGATTTCTTCATCTTACAACTCTGCCTCTAAGTAAAATGAAATCCATGTTAGCTGTGAAGAAGTACAATAATACTATGATGACCATATTTTCTTATCATATTTGGTTTACTATCTCATGTGTCACTATTGCATTATAAACAAACAATTGTTCTGTTTGATACTTCTGCAATAACATTATAATGACCACTTTTCTTACCATATTTTATTTATCATGTCATGTGTCACCACTGCATTGATAACAAAGATGAGTGGTGGAACTTATTAAACCAATGAAGTATTGACACATGAGATGGTAAAAAAAATATGTTATCAATATTATTTGCAGAAGTATCCTCAAATAGAACAGTATACTAGAATGATAGCAAGTGCTTCCTGTGAAATCTGTATCTTGCAAGGAAGAAAAGTGACAAGAAATGGGGAAATGACTGCATGAAAACATCGTAAATGATAGGGCAATGAGTACCAAATGTGGCACGAGTAAGATGGCCAAACTACCATCAGAATTTGATTCCGTCAGTTTAAATAGAAAAACCATTTTTTTTTTCCTCAAACATCCCTAGGTATGCACCATGCCATAGCTATGAGTTTGTATGTTTTCAAGCGGCTAAAATATTGTATGATGGACATTCATGGGGACGTGTCCACTGGAGTTCCTGAAGTTGAGATAGGATCTTAATTATGCATATAATATGTGTGCAAATATATTACTATACATTACTATGGCATAAAACATGAGTTTGATGCATTTCAGAAGTAATTGTTCTACAAGATAGGCCTTGCTACCCCCACTAAGGAATATACACATAGTATCTATATCTATATTGTTATCACAAAAGGAAGCAAGAGAGCCTAATCTTGCACTTCCACATTTCTTCCATTAGGGTTTTGTAACAAGCAATCCTCGAATTCCAACTAGCCTGTCTAAACACCCATTCCTTCTAGAATATAGAGTAAAAGCAAAAAAAGTAGAACTTTCTCTTTCCTCTTTCCAATGGACTTCATCAATGAAATTCTAGTTTCAAATCTGCTATATATTTATTTATTTTTTTTAACAAGAACATTAACTTCTCAATTCTGTTGATTTCAATAATGGATTCCTTGTGGCATTAATATCTTCTACCGCAATTGTTTGTCAAATTTTGAATTCTTATCAGTGACCTTTCAAAACTTTCTTGTGTTGAGTATATATAGTCAGTCAGAAGAAAATAAACCAAACCAAACCAAGCCTTAAGTCCCATCAACTGGGGTCGGCTATATGAATCCTATTTCTCCACTCGATTCTATCAAAGGTCATTTGGTTAGTCAAATTAAGGAGATTCATATCTTTATTTCTTCACTACTGCCTTTGTCGATCTCCGTTGTAAATGACCAAACCATCTCAATCTATTCTCTCAGCGCTTATCTTCTATTGGTACTACTCTTACCCATTTATGAATATACTCATTCTTAACTCTATCTTTTCTAATCTTACCACATATCCATCTTAACATTCTCATCTTAGCAACACTCATCTTATCTAGATATTGTTTCTTAGTTGCCCAACATTCTGTCCTATACAATATCGTTGGTCTAATCGCTATTCTATAGAATTTTCTTTTAATCTAATGGGTACTCATTTATCGCACAGTACCCTAGACGTACTCCTCCACTTAAGCTATCTTGCTTTAATTCTATGGATTATATCTGCTCCAATCTCCCTAGCCATTATGATAATTGACTCTAAATAACGAAAACATTCACTCTTAGATAATTTTTGACCCTTGATCTTTTCTTCTCCTCTATTTCCATTATTATTATTATTAAAATTACACTTCATGTACTCTATCTTAGTTCTACTAATTCTAAATCCTTTAAATTCAAGTGCTTTTCTCCAAATCTCTAACTTAGTGTTAACTCCTTCTCTAGTCTCATCTACTAACACAATATGATCTGCAAAAAACATACACCATGGCACATTATCCTGAATATTTCTCGTCAACTCATATATAACTAAAGTAAAAAGATAAGGACTTATTAAGGTTGATCCTTGGTATAACTCCACAGTAATTAGAAATTCACTCGTCTCTCTAGCCGACGATCTAATAGTGGTTACCATACATTCATACATGTCCTTAATCACATCAATGTAGCCTTTTGTCACCCCTTTCTTCAATAACACCTACCAGATTACATCCCAAGACACTCTATCATACGCATTCTCAAGATCAATAAAAATCATATGAATGTCTCTTTTCTTCTCTCTATACTTTTCTATTACTCTCTTGAAAAGATAGATCGCTTCCATTATTAATCTATCGGGCATAAATCCGAATTGATTCTATGTTATATCTTGCAATTAACGTTCCATCATTCTCTCCCATACTTTCATTATATGACACATCAGCTCGATTTCTCTATAATTGTTGCAATTCTAAACATCTCTTTTATTCTTAAAAATTAGCACTAAAATACTCTTCCTCCATTCATTTGCATTTTCCTAGTCAACAAAATCTTGCTACATAACCTAGTCAACCAAGCAACCCTTTCTTATCCAAACATTTCCAAACTTTAATAGGGATATTATCGGGGTCTTAAAGCTTTATTCGATATCATCTTCTTAAATGCAATCTTCATTTTAAAGTTTCTAATCTATGATGCACGGATACGAACACGAGACATGACACGGATACGGGGACACGCAAATTTTTAAAAAATGGGAGACACGACATGCTGGGGACTAAGAAGCATAGATATGGAAACGTGACATGACACAGACATGCCGACACATTAACTTTCAAAAAATGCAGGACATGACACATGAGAGACACGCATGAAATATATAATTTTAAATATTTATTATATGTTATATACGTATAAATATATCATTCAAAGATAATAAAAAATGCAATATGACACTAATTCCTATAAATTTATATGGGTTTTGTTTTATTATTGTATCTTAAGTTGTTTTTTCAAATTTATAATTAGTTTCACATGTCTAATCGATAGACATGTTTCTAAGCAATTAACATGCGTGTCCTCGCAATTAACACGCGTGTCCTCCAAGTGTCCAAAGAGTGTCTGGGTCTTTAAAAAAATTTAAAAAATAGGACACGTTTTGAAGAGTGTCAAACACGTGTCTTAAGAGTGTCCAAAGAGTGTCGGTGTCCGACACGGACACGACACGGATACGTTACCTTCTTAGAAATGTCCGTGCTTCTTAGGCTGGGGATACGTTTAATATATATAATTTTATTTATTTATTATATGTCTAAAATAAAAAGAAAATCATTAATTTTTATAAAATTACAATAATAATAAAATTAATAAACATATTTTTTTAATTTTTTTAATAAAAAATGAGTTTTTTTAAATAAAAATAATTTATTTTATGAATTTTAGGTTTAACAAAAATAAGAAAAAAAAAAGAAAAAACAAAAAAACAAAAAAACAAAAGAGGGGGAAGAAAATAAAGGAGAGAGAAATAGAAGAGAGAGAGAGAGAGAGGTGAATCAGCAAAAGGGGGAAAAAAATAAAAAAGAGAAACAAAAGAGGGGAAAGTGAAATCAGAGAGAGAGAGAGAGTAGGAGAAGACGAAGAAAATGGAGGAGAAGAAGATGAAGGAGACAGAAGACGAGGAGGAGGAGGAGGAGAGAGCAGACGAAGAATACCTCAGCTTCTTCAATTGATCTAAATAGGTTAGGGCTCCTATCCTCTCCTCCCTCTCTTTCTCTGTCTCCTCTCCTCCCTCGATCTCTGTCTTCTCTCCTCCTTCGATCACTTTCTTTGCCTTTATTTCTCTTTCTATCTCCTTTCCTCTCCTCTCTCTCTCTCTCTCTCTCTCTCTTCTCTTTCTGTCTCCTCCCTCTCTCTCTCTCTCCAATAGTTAGGGCTTCGGTCCACCTCATACGTGTCCGGAAAGTGTCACAGCGTGTCCATGGTGTGTCCGACTAGCAAAATTCAAAAAAAAAAAGGGGACACATTAGAGAGAGTGTCGGACACATGTCCACCGCGTGTTCGTGTCCGTGTCCAACACTTGTACGCAGGCCCTGGGGACGTGTCGGTACTTCATAGTTTCTAATCCTACGATGGAACCTATAGTCTTGGTTTTCTTTATTATTGGCTACTTCCTCTCTTTTTGACCGTCCTCCATGTTCCTCATTTAACTTCTTCTCAAAATAATTCTTCTACTGCTCTTTAATCTCTTCATCCTTCATCAACACCTTAGAGTCCTCACTCTTGATGCACTTAATTTTGATCATACTTAAAAATTAACAAAAAATTGATCAAAATCAATTTTAAACCCTAATAGATGTGATTTTGAAAAAGAAATATGCGTATCGGTAAGTTTTTTTCAAATTGTGCAAAACATAAAAAAATTCACGGTTTTGGTTACCGCAACCGTTGCGCTACGGCCTTTACACCCTTCAACCGCAACTGCGCCACCGCAATCGTTATGGCAACCGCAACTGCTTTTCGAAACCTTGCTCATATAATTGGCCATCGAGTTCCACATAGTGTTAGCATAATTCCAAGTCCTACGTTCCTTCTTCATTCATTCTATTCTTAAATATTTATAGTTCACCCATTTTAGGTCCCACCATCTCGTCCTACGGCGCCCACTATCCTTCCTAGCTTGGTGTTGCCCTTTAAAGCATAAATCTAGTACCAAAACACTATATTGAGACGTCAGACTCTCTCTAGGAATCACCTTACAGTCGCAGCATTTTAGAGGGTCTATTTTTCTTACTAGAAAGTAATCTATTTTGGTTCTTAATTGACCTACTCTTAAAGGTTATCAAATACTCATCTCTCTTCTTATACATAGTATTGGCCACCACCAAGTCAGAAGCCAACACAAAATCCAAAAAACTCGCTCCAGTCTTATTTCTACCACCAAAAAATATTTTGATTTAGTTGGTAGGGATTAGTTCAGGGTAGACAGTAGCTTCGAACACCCCTGAAATGAGTTGTAGCAATGGAGCCTAAACCATTACATTGGTGATGTATTGGTTTGGAGGGGACACTAGCATGGCCGAGAAGGTTGGAGCACTAAATGGCAGACAATGCAACACAATAAACAACAGGAGGGATGTTGATGGTGATATCAACAACGATGGAACCACTACGCCAGTTTGCAAAGTAAATGGTGCTTGGCACAAGGGGAGACTGTGGCAAAGGTGACACTGGCGATTGCACGTGGTGCTGTTGACAGGACCAACTGCTTATGCTGATGCTGATGCCCATACTGCGACTTTGTGTCTGCATATATATCTAGGTACAAGTAATTTAAGGGGACTTAAAAAAACACATTGCAACACACATGAATCTTTTGGGTGCAAATTTGATACACAAGAAAGACTTGCACCAAACACAAGACGGACTTGAGATTTCCACTGTCAACTGATTTGAGATTTCCCCTAATTTAAGCTCACTTAGACAACACAATGTTTGTTTGGACGGAGTGGATAAGGAAGGATTTCAATGCAATGGACTATTACTCATAAATAGTCTTTGGAATATTTGATTGGAAGTGATGTGTATTAAACTATTAGTCTGACTTTTACTTTTCTAACCAACCGATAGATTAGTAAATCTATTGAACACGGAGTCCAATCCCATGAAACAAACGCTCATACGTAATGTTCTCAAAACATCAAGAAATAACAATATCCTTCAATTTACATATCCATAAAAAAATATGTAAGAATCAAAAAGTCATCCCCCTAAAATGGATTATTTATGTCTAGATAGCCAAATGTAATGTGCATTGTCATATTCCAAAAATTATCAATCGTTCAATTCACAATTCACTGACAAGTTTAGAGAACAATTCACAAAAAATGATAACTAATTCACATCACTTTCCATAGAAAAAAAAAAAAAATTGCTAGTTTATGGAACAATTCACTTGTAGGAGTTAAATCCAATAACCGACCTCAACACCATATCAATTATCCATACATACATATATATATATATATATATAGAGAGAGAGAGAGAGAGAGAGAGAACCTGTATCGATTCATCGTCGTTGGAGGTAGCTTCGAGAGAGTCATCTTTTGGAGACACAGATTGTTGTTGTGGTTGTTGTTGTTGCTCTTCTTGTTGTTGTTGTTGTTCATCACCGCCATTGAAATCGCTTTCGCTAGCGGTTTCGAAGCCGTCGGAGATGTCTCCGGCAGCCGATGTTGCGTCGTGGCTCGAGCTCGACTCGGCTGCTACTGCTTTTGATGGCTTTGGTTTCGATTTGGGAGTAACATTGACAGCGTTTCTCTCTTCTTCACTCGGTGCTGGTTCGATCACCACCATCTCTCTCTCTTTCTCTCTCTTCGTGTTCCGAACTCAGTGAGTTGGGGTTTCTGGTGTTCGCCGCTTTTTGCCTGAGTTAACAGAGATGGAAGAAAACAAACCTTGTGGTTCCGGAAACCTCTAGCTTCTCCCAACGACGTCGTTTTCTAGTCTTCCCTTTGATTTTTATCCCCTACACTTCCGTGTTGTTGACGGGTTGGATTTGTAATCGGTTTTTAACCTGAATACAATCCGCAGATCTGAGTCCGAATTCAATTACAGTATTAAAATTAAAAAATAAAAAATAAATTCAGGTTAGACTCATTAATGTTAAATTCTATTTAATAACTAAATGAGTAATGTTAGGTATTATGAAAAAAAATATTATAAATTTTTTTTATAAAAATTATCCACTTTTGAATTAAGTCCTAGTATTTTATTGTATATTATACAATTAATTTTGAATTATAAAATTTTTCATTATGCGTAAACATCACTTTAGAAATTTTAATTAAATCCCTTACATATATCAATCAATCTCTCTTTACCACTAATGGATTTAAGTATTGGCATCACAGAAATTAAAATTCAAATAAAATTTAGGGGCTGTTTGAGATGTCTTAAATAAATACACTTTTTGAATTTTTAGACTAAAAATTTGAGGAAAAAAAATATGGTTGTTTGGGTTAACTTTTTGACTTTTTATAAAAAAAATGTGTATTAAAAAATTATATAAATTAATGTATAAGAAAAAATTAAAATTAAGAATTGTGCCGTCCTATTTTTTAACTTTTGGTGAATAGTAATAATTTTTTAACTTTTTAAATAATTTTTTAATTTTTTAACTTTTTAAATTCATGCCAAACTTGACGTTAGTTAGAGTAATGCCTATGATGACCCCTTACATATATCAATCAATTCAGTAGGCCTAAGATGATCACTGAATCCAAGAGTTGGCAGACTCGCTGACCTACAAGCAAAAGCCTTAAGAACTAACTGGTGTCCTCTAACGAACAAGTTAGCCTCTTAAAAATACAAAGTAATGTAGAAATTTATAAGATACTGATAGATTAGATATATATGATGGTTTTATTTCCCTTCGGATGTAACCAAAAATATATATATATATATATATATGATGGTTTTATATATGATGGTCATGTATCAACACTTCAATAGATATACATATTTGCTGTATCAATGGAGTCCATCATCTATCTCCTCCCAAATAACATCCGGTTTAGGAGTCCATCCCCTATCTTCCCCTAAACCGTGGAGTACATACCCTACCTCCTCCCATACAAACAATGTATATAAACAATGATCATATACAAAATCAATCAATACACATATTTGATGTATTAAACCAACCGTCATATTCAATGACATATTCAATGTGATTAGTTTCAGTTTTCTCTAATCAACATACAGTGTCTACAACAATCAAGATTATCCTCCACCGATAGCCCAAAGTAGTTATTTCTAAACAGAAAATAAATGCATTAAACAGATACAATATCAACATTTTAATGGGTGAGTAATTAATTAATCCAACTACACCATTCAATCCCATAATTCTCCAATTTCATGGATTTCAACTCAAGTTCACACTTTTTTCAAATTAATTACACCAATTAATTTATTACAACACATTTAGGGCATTATTCCCTTATTCTCAAATCCTGATCCTAAGACCAAATTCCACCAATTTAACTCTCCAGCCCACATTTCCAAGGCTCTAAATATACATGGAGCTTTAAAACACGAAACCCCTCTTTTATAAATTACAACCAAACCCTAACTTTTCCCAAAATCTCCCAACATCACCAACTAATCAAAATGACCAAAATTAAAGACAAAACTCATAAGATGGAGTAGGATATTCCTACCTCGAAATGAAGAGCTCAAATGGAGGAGATGACCAAAATCCAAAGAGCTCTAAATCCAAGATTTTTCAGATTAAAAGGAAGCCCTCAACACCCTCTATTTTTCTTACAAAGAGCCTAGGCTAGAAACTCACTAGAAGTAGATCAATCCCTAGAGAGAAGTTGGGTTTCTAGAGAGAGAAGCTCTCCAATGGAGGTTTTGGAAAAGTAAGAGAGAGAAAGGAAATAAAAAAGTGATCCAAAAAGGTGAAACTCGGACTGATATAAAAGTCTCCCCGCTCGAGCGTGAAACTCCTCGCTCGAGTGTCAGACATAGACTCACGCTCGAGCGTGAAAAGAGCCACTCGAGCGTCGATTGCACACTTCCATAAGTTTTGCAGACCATGGTCCCCGTTCGAGCGTCAAACTCCCCGCTCAAGCTAAGGAACAAAAACGAAGGGTCACGCTCGAGCGTCAAAATCCCTGCTCGAGCGTCCGATGACCTGCAGAGAAAATACTGGGAGATGAATATTCATGCTTGAGCGTCAAAACGCCCGCTCGAGTGTCAAAAGTCCCGCCCGAGCGTAATTGCCAAAATCTGGGCATCAACTTTTGGTTTTTAAATACAACCAACCTGTTACAAACTTACCCAACACAACCCAAGACTCAAATACAAAGGGTAAATGGTGAAAATGAGAATACGACATCAACACACTCATGGAACCCTATGATGATCCCTTACATATATCAATCAATTCAGTAGGCCTAAGATGATCACTGAATCCAAGAGTTGGCAGACTCAAGTCAACTGGGACTGACCTACAAGCAAAAGCCTTAAGAACTAACTGGTGTCCTCTGACGAATAAGTTAGTCTATTAAAGATACAAAGTAATGTAGAAGTTTATAAGATACTGATAGATTAGATATATATGATGGTTTTATTTTCCTTCCGATGTAACCAAAAAATATATATATATGATGGTTTTATATATGATGGTCCTGTATCAACACTTCAATAGATACACATATTTGCTGTATCAATGGAGTCCATTTCCTATCTCCTTCTAAATAACATCTGGTTTAGGAGTCCATCCCCTATCTCCCTCTAAACCGTGGAGTACATATCCTACCTCCTCCCACACAAACAATGTATATAAACAATGATCATATACAAAATCAACCAATACACATATTTGATGTATTAAACCAACCGTCATATTCAATGACATATTCAATGTGATTAGTTTCAGTTTTCTCTAATCAACATACAGTGTCTACAACAATCAAAACTATCCTCTACCGATAGCCCAAAGCAGTTATTTCTAAACAGAAAATAAATGCATTAAACAGATACAATATCAACATTTTAATGGGTGAGTGATTAATTAATCCAACTACACCATTCGATCCCATAATTCTCCAATTTCATGGATTTCAACTCAAGTCCACACTTTTTCCAAATTAATTATACCAATTAATTTATTACAACACATTTAGGGCATTATTCCCTTATTCTCAAATCATGATCCTAAGACCAAATTCCACCAATTTAACTCTCAAGCCCACATTTCCAAGGCTCTAAATATACATGGAGCTTTAAAACATGAAACCCCTCTTTTATAAATTACAACCAAACCCTAACTTTTCCCAAAATCTCCCAATAAAAATTAAAGACAAAACTCATAAGATGGAGTAAGATATTCCTACCTCGAAATGAAGAGCTCAAATGGAGGAGATGACCAAAATCCAAAGAGCTCTAAATCCAAGATTTTTCATATTAAAAGGAAGCCCTCAACACCCTCTATCTTTCTTACAAAGAGCCTAGGCTAGAAACTCACTAGAAGTAGATCAATCCCTAGAGAGAAGTTGGGTTACTAGAGAGAGAAGCTCTCCAATGGAGGTTTTGGAAAAGTAAGAGAGAGAAAGGAAATAAAAAAGTGATCCAAAAAGGTGAAACTCGGACTGATATAAAAGTCTCCCCGCTCGAGCGTGAAACCCCTCGCTCGAGCGTCAGACATAGACTCACGCTCAAGCGTCAAAACGCCCGCTCGAGCGTCGGATGCACACTCACAGAAGTTTTGCAGGCGATGGTCCCCGCTCGAGCGTTAAACTCCCTGCTCGAGCAGAGGAACAAAATCAAAGGGTCACGCTCAAGCGTCAAAACGCCCGCTAGAGCATATGAAGACCTGCAGAGAAAATATTGGAAGATGGAAATTCACGCTCGAGCGGCAAAACACCCGCTCGAGCGGAGACAACCAACTTATTTCAAATCTGCCCAACACAACCCAAGACTCAAATACAAGGAGTAAGGGAAGGAAATGAGAATGAGACAACATCACAACCACGGAGCCAAGTCCGGAATACAATATATAAAGGAAGGAAAAATCGGGATCGCTATAATTTTAATAACCTTAGTTATGGCTAATGGTGAAACCACAACATATTAATGGTATTTGTTTCTTGGATTCTCCTATTTTTAATGTGAGATTTATAATAATAGATTGATCCATTAATGGCATTGGTTCCACAAGTCCCATAAGAGGATGACAATTATTAAAAGAGGTATAATCACATAGGTAAAAGTAAGTTTGGGTAGTAAAAAAAAAAAAAAAGAAGAAGGAGATTTAAACATCTTATGCCTCCTTTTCCTTTGACAATCACATAGGCGAAATGGTTGCCCAATAAATGTTAATTGTTTTGAACTACAGAGCTAGCATTGCAAAAACCATTTAAGGACAATCCATAGAAATCCAAACATGTAATCCAGAAACACATTTATTTAACTATTCACAAATCCCAAAATCTCGGGAAATTCTATTTTCACACACCTAATTAGCTCAAAGTATATCTTTTTTTTCAATACACACGCCTATTAATTTGATTATCAATTAATTTTCTCAATCCACACACTTAAAGTTACAATTATACCCTTCACTTATAACCATTGTACACACACCTCTAACCCTCTTTCCACACACTTTTAATTAACCCTACTTTCACATTGACCCATCCACGCCCTTGAAGAAGACTTTGGTCCGAAATGAAATTCCCTCCATTGAAGACTTGCATAAAAGACTTCCATTGAACCTCCATTAAAGACCATTATAAATCCTCCAAAATAGTACACTTTTTCCTCACACACAAACACTTCTAAACATTAATAGAAATAAATTAATCTCCAATAAGAATAACATTTTGAGGAAAGATGTCACCAAATCCACAAGGAAACTATGATTCACAAGGCTGCCTTGAAAGTTTGAAAATGCTCTTATATATGGGCACCAAATGGTGGCCCTTATGTTCTGCTGTGTTTTGAGGACTATTAACAGAAACAAAATTTGCAGTGGGAAGAGATTAATGTGCTTTCTTTGTTTTGACCACCACCGTTCTACTTTTATTGAGATTAATGATTAGATCGGTCTTAATGAAAAATAATGAAAAAAATTGGGGTTTAAATTTATTTATTTTTTTAATTCAAAATGTGTATATTCAAATTTTCTTATTCTTAAAAGATGTGTACAAATTTTTTTTTATATATAATATTATGGGTGTTGCTGGATGTCTATTATAGTCATTTTTATTTATGATATAATTGTCATTAAATTAATATTTCATTAAAGGTGTGGCTTGAGCTAATTAGATGTGTAGAAATAGAATTTTCCCAAAATCTCCCAACCGCAAAAAATGACAATAGTAGATTTACAATTTAACCTAAGATTACTGTAACATCCCTATCTTTAAAACTTCTTATATAATTAAAAATTATTAAGTATTATCCAGATATAACCAATTAAATCCATTTATCAGGAGATAACACACTTGAGAGAAATATAGTCTTTCGTTAAGTAAGTCTATTTCTCATTGAATTAATTCAAAACTGTTACATCATGTGTTTACAATACAAATTATAGTTTCAAGAGTTAGAGAAAACAAAGTAAAGATGCCCTAATGGTGTACAAGTTTCAAGGGCATTGCCTTAATTACACAAAAAGATGAACATTTGTCCCAAAAACACATAATGGCCCTGGAACTTTAACACATAACATCCAATGAGCTCTCATGCTCCATTCAAAATCTCCACCGCCTTGTCATTTGGGCGGAGTCACACCATCAAGTCCTGAAAGTTTTGTTGGATTTGGAGTGAGATAACGCCTAGTAGGAATACCATTAACAAAGTATATAAATGATTGAAACATATGATCATGCTGTACACATGCCATGATAAAACCCATGTTTTTCTCCTTTTAAAATCAATGATGTTCAACCAACGTAGATAGCCCGATTGGCCAAAACTCCTACACCTCAATAAGAGGTTAGTAGTTCAAATCTTTCCATCTACGTGTTGGTCTTATTCCCTGTGTATTAATTGGAGCTTTCTCTCCCACTTTGGAGTTTCTTTGTAAAAAGTTGTATAGTATTTGATTTCCATTGGTATGATTATAATTCTTTGGGTTTCTTTGTAATATCTTATATGAATCAAATCTATAAAATAAAATAAAAAATCAATGATGTTCAATGCATAATTTCTAGTCAAAAACTCATCATCACTAATGGAGCGGTAAATATACAATGACGTCCCAAGCAAGAGCCGCAAAACCATATATATATATATATATAGATTTATATATTGAAAATATCCCCACATTTACCGACTCTAAAAATGGCGGGGCAATAGGCACCCAAAAACCTTTTTCCTTCCACATTTGTCGACTCTAAAAAGGGCAAGGCTAGTAGGACACACAAAAACATTATTTTTCCACATTTGTCTACTCTTGAAACGGTGGGGCCAATAGACACCCAAAACCATTTTTCCACATTCGTCCGGCGATAAGCTTAAGACCGAACAATTAGACACATTGACTCCTTGCACGGGTACTAATACAATACTCAATCCATTTTTAAAATCCGATTCAACTACCCGGACTCATACTTTATTTACCCCCTTTCAACATTTCCAAATATCCAAGAGATTAAACCAATCATGAAATAAAATTGTGGGATACAATGCAATGCATGGGTTTGTAAACATTTCAATTTTCCTAAGATTCATTCGTTAACAATAGAAATTTAACACAGTCCATGACTAAAGAAATCTCCCATTCCTATACGATTCCCTTACGATTAGCATAATCAAACTCCTCCATCATAATGATGAAAACCAAACTACTCCAAATCAATAACAACATGTATATATACTAAATATCAACTCAATTTCACATTTCATAGTCCAATTTTTGAACAAAATTCCCTCTTTAGAGCAAAATCAAAATTATGGTTTTATAAAAATTCCAGACTTTTCCTTCATTTGTAAACCTGAAACAAATATTCATCATCAACAACCTTTATCATCAATAGATATTCAAAATCTTTCAAAACTTTGGATAAAACCCCTTTTTAATGCACAAAAACTCATTTATTACAACACAATCATCTCATACATATATATAACTGAGGAGATACTACATATATATCTCAAATCATAGATATACGAAGTTAAGAGTATTCCTACCTCAAAGATAGAAGCTACAAGATGAAGACCCCATAAGAAACCTCAAGGAGAGCACAAACTAATTAGTCAAGATGTTGATCTAGGCTTGTTCTTCACTTTTATTACACGATCAAAGATGGATTCTTGGTGAAAATGGGTGAAATCAAAGGTTTAGGGCTAGGGTTTTTCGAATTAGAAGAGAGAGAGGAAGAGAGGGGGGAAGAAAACGTGGAGCGCGCAAGGGGAAGAAAACATGAGAAAAAGTGGAGTAAAAAGTGACTTTAGAATCGGCTAAACCAAACAGACCGCTTGAGCCCTCAATCTTGCGCTCAAGCAAAGAATGAGAGCTTCTAGCATCTCTGCGAGTGAGGAACATTGCGCTCGACCAAACTGAGATTTGTTGAAGAGTCACAACCTCACAGGCTTAGCTCCTAAGGCACTCTCTGCACATCAACCTTATTTGCATATGTAACCATTTAAGTAAATTTATATGTCATTTACTTAAATTTACAATATAAATAAGAAAATATCCCCCATTTATATTAAAAAAAATTACAAAAAAATCAAAATCAAATTAAATCAAAAAGGTGGTTCCCAAGTTTTAGTACAAAAATAAATTTTCGACTAAAATTTCTAAGTTTGAAGATGAAGTAAAGTGGTTAATATCTCAAAGAAAAATTTCATAAAATCAAATTAGACTATTTAATATATAATGAACAATTACCATAAAAAATTATTTTCAAAATCGTAAGTTTTGAAAAATCAAATTTTTACACTTAGAAAATTTCCAAGCTAAGTCCAATTTTTGATAGAAAACCTTTTTAATACAACCATCTTTATATGAATAAGGGTCGGGTCTCAACCTGAGATGTTACAATTACCAAGCCTTAAGATCATTAATGATATTTGCATACATAACAAATAGCAAAGAAACAAAAAAGAAAAAAAAAGAAAAAGAAAATGCACGTAATATGGCATGGCTGATGCTAATAGACAGTGCCTTCAACCAGCTTGTTTAATTTCTTGTTCCTTAATTTCTCAGCATACACTTCCCTTCCTTGGCATTCATACCTGTTCACAAACAAGACCAAGATTTAGCCCAAAATGCTGAGGCAAGATTTACAGAGCACTCCTATTTAGTGGTTAGATCCATAATCATCTGATCATACATTTGTTAAACCAACCAGTTTATTTTCCTTTTTCTTTCTTCAACTTGACACTAATTTCATCAGGCACTTGTCTAAGACAGTTTAGTGCATGAGATTCTCATCGTTATGGTCATGTTTGTTTCAGTGGATATATATGACTTTGGAATTAGATTAATAATCCAACAAAATAAATAATTCCATATTTGGCTAAGAAAATTGGGGCCTGGACTAATAGTCCTCCCAAACATGACCTTATGGGGGAATGTTAAATTCTAAGAAGGGGTCGATATACAAAATGAAGGACTAAGGAAAAGTTCATACTAATTGGCTAAATTAAGAAATTGATAGGAATTTGGCAAAACCTCATATTTTTGGTCAATCCAAACAAACTAAATGATTACTAATCCTAGGAGTAACCGCTTTAGAAATGCTAATCATATCTAATCCAGTTTTTCCAAACAAATATGATGTGGGGGTTTAAGAAGGGTTAGATAAAGGCAACCTTCCTCCGGCATGTGAAGGGACTGTTTCTGTAATCATCAATCACTAGATTTTCCAACTATATTCTAGCCTTGAATCCAAATATTGATTTGACAAATTCAGGCTCTTTTGCAAGATGAATCCCATGCATGGCAGAGTGGCAGTGATACATTACTCAAAAACTTGCTTTTAGAACATCTTGCAAGTCATTGTTTTTATCAAACACCTTCTTACCACACATGGGATTTACAACATTTGCAAACCAATACATGGTAAGCTGAGTAGAACCCAATATAATAGTTTCCAAAACATTGTGTAAAAAATTATGGCAATGCTAAGAACTCAATGACTAATGGTCTTTACCTAGGTGGTAAGGAGATCAAAGGACTCAAGCTTTCTGCAAGTTTCACAGCTTCTTGTTCAGAATTCACAATTTTATTGAAGCAAAAGTATCTCCCACATGTGGACCGATCCTCAAAAGCACGAATATTAACATCTGCTAGAAAGTTCACATCAACTATTGCTAGGACTCCGTTTTCATACATCTGCGCTGCCCCTGTAGTATCAGAATTCAGACGATTAAACAACACTCTTGCCGATAGGTAAAGTAAACTAAGAAAAATGGATTTTAGGCGTGTTTAACATTTGAACCTTGAAGATACGACATTGTCACTCGGGGATTCTTTTGAGCAATGGCAGGTCCAAGAACTAGCCCGGCATTTATAGACACCATGTTAAGCATTCGGTCCATGGCTAGAGCCCAAGCAGCTTGCTCTGAGAGTGTCTTTACTAGTGCATACCATAACTGAAAAGTATATAGTAAACATTCAATTGAGATGTTGCATTGTTTACACAATTGACAGATTAGTTACAAAATGGTGTAAAGTATACCTAGATCGAGGAATTGTGGTAAAAACCTTAATCATTTTCAGTATATTTTTGTCATATTCGAGCACAAAATACTAGAGCTCTATGCTTTTTGAATTATTAAAGCAAATTGTTGTGCCAAGTAATGGTATGCTCCTAGAAAATGGTTTTCAAAACAAGATGCACCTACATGTATCCACCCGCCTGCAAGTTTTTGAAGCCTTGCATGGGAACAAAGTCATCCCTAATGCTGTGTTTGTGTTTGGTTGGGTGATTTGAGAAATGATTTGGGAAGGGTAAGATATTGTGTATTTCCCCAAATCCCTCAACCAAAAACAGCGTAACTATATTTTGAAAATATTATCAGATGAGAAGAGTATAGAAACCACATTCAACACTATCACTGCTTTGTCATCACCAATGCAAATTTATGTAGTCCCATATATATATATATATATATACTAGTTTACCCAAGCCCCTGCAAGGCAGGTGCTATTATTACAATATGCTTAACTTTTTGGTATTTTGATAAATTTTTTAAAATTCAAAATTGTTTTATGAAATTGAATAGAATAAATCATTAGATATATGATAGAATTATGTGGTATGATATGTATCATTTTTTTAATTTGTTATACACCTAATGATGTTGACTCCAATTCTATTACAATATCATTTTGGGTGAATTTATAAGTCTTCAACATTTCTTCCGAATTTATAAAAAAAAAACAAAATTATGATCCGTAGCTTTTCTCAACAGATAAATATAAAACAAATACTAAGATAATTCTCCAATCTAAAAAAAAAACTACTAAGATAAGTCATTGAACTAATAAAGAAGCAGAACAAAATACATATATATATATATATATAAATGACTAATTTTATTAATACATAAATCATACTCGAATAACAAATGATCAATTTTATTCATAAGTAAATCATTAAGTAAATTAACAATTTTTAATGATATGAAAAATATTTTTCTGTTAACCATTTTGTTAATAAATAAATCATTAAGTCCATTAACAAGTTTTCATGATATGAGAAATATTTTTCAATAAACAATTTTGATAATTTATTATTGCGTAAGAGAATAGTTTTTTTTTTCTTCTAATTATTGGGTTAAATTAAAATTTATAACAAACGATAATTGTAATTTGTATTATTATAGGACTAATTCATATTTTAAATAAACATTATGGGTGTATTTGTAATTTGTTAAAAAAATAAAAAAAATTATGTTTTATAATTGACCAGAATGTTTGCATATTTTTTAGAAAACCTTCATTCAAATTGTTATATTATTAGTAAATTATACAAAATAAAAGGGCAAAATAGAAAATTCCTAAACAAGCTAAGGACAAAATAGGCAACCCAAAACAAACCTTCCCAACCGAAGCAACCAAAATAGGGAAATTCTATTTCTACACGTCTATTTATCTCCGTGTACACACTTAATGAAATATTATTTTAATGACAATTTAGCCCCTAATTTGACCTATAAGTATTTTTACCAAAGCGTTCTTGTTAGCCCTGCAGAACCGAACAATGCTGGAAATGGTGTTTTGTTGTTTGTCTCTAAGTATTTTAAAGCATGCCTAATGTTATTTTCTTGCCTTACCATACCTATGTATGATTATCATGGGCTACATTTCATTTCTTATGTTTGTCTCATGCTCTTTTATATTACCGAATTACCGAACGTGACTAGCTTGCTTGGCAAAAGATCTAATAAATGGGAAATGGAAAGGGGTTGGTAGTGGGTGACGTTCACCCTTGTGCTTCAGAATGATTTATGTATTGAACATGTGAATGGAATTAAAACCAAACGAGTTAAGTCTTGCGCAAGCGGTCTAAACGAGCCCCTAGGTTGACACGGATGTATTCAGACTTTATGCGGTGGTTTCAGGGTGTAAGCGAGCCCTTTGGTATGATATGTGCAGGGTGTAAGCGAGCCCTAGGCACGATTTGGTATGGTATGTGCAGGGTGTAAGCGAGCCCTAGGCACGATTTGGGTGTAAGCGAGCCCACTTGTTTGGCCATCCCTTTTGAGGTCCATCAATGTCACTAACCGGTAAATAATCAGGAGGTGGGCATAGGTGGTAAGGTCTGCAAAGCAGCAAAAGGGGGAGTCTGAGTAATCTGGTGTTCAGTCTTGTGGTTGGGTAGAAGGATCTCTTTGGGGGATCCTAGATGTCTAGGCAAACTCCTAATTCATAGAACCTTGTTGTAATTTTGCATGTTATGTTACCCAATTTGTCCTATGTATGGTTGATTGGTTGATAGAAGATATGGGGATGTGTGTGTTTTTACTGGGCATTCCAAGCTCATGGCGTGTCATGCCAGGTAGTGAAGCAGTTATAATGATGAAAGTTATTGCAAAGGCAAATACGATGAAGTGTTGGAGCGGTGGTTCATTTGAAGACTTAGACTAGTTGTTTTTGTTTTCAATGTTTTGTATTCCTGCAATGGAAAATAAACGAATGATCCGTGATACTAACTCTGGTTATAAATGTATATTAAGATGTTTTGGTTATCTATCCTATTTGTGTGGTAATATTGTACTTAATTAACGGCCTGGAAGTTGGGGTGTTACATTGCATGGGAACAAAGTCATCTCTAATGCTGTGTTTGTGTTTGGTTGGGTGATTTGAGAAGGGATTTGGGAAGGGTAAGAGAAATTGTGTATTTCCCCAAATCCCTCAACCAAAAACAGCGTAACTATATTTTGAAATATTATTAGATGAGAAGAGTATAGAAACCACATTCAACACTATCACTGCTTTGTCATCACCAATGCAAATTTATGCAGTCCCATATATATATATATATATATACTAGTTTACCAAAGCCCGTGCAAGTCACGTGCTATTATTACAGTATGCTTAACTTATGTATTTTGATAAATTTTTTAAAATTTAAAATTATTTTATGAAATTGAATTGAATAAATCATTAGATATATGATAGAATTATGTGGTATGATATGTATCATTTTTTTAATTTGTTATACACCTAATGATGTTGACTCCAATTCTATTACAATATCATTTTGGATGAATTTATAAGTCTTCAACATTTCTTCCGAATTTATTAAAAAAAAACAAAATTATGATCCGTAGCTTTTCTCAACAGATAAATATAAAACAAATACTAAGATAATTCTCCCATCTAAAAAAAAAACTACTAAGATAAATCATTGAACAAATAAAGAAGCAGAACAAAATACATATATATACAAATGACTAATTTTATTAATACATAAATCATACTCGAATAACAAATGATCAATTTTATTCATAAGTAAATTAACAATTTTTAATGATATGAAAAATATTTTTCTGTTAACCATTTTGTTAATAAATAAATCATTAAGTCCATTAACAAGTTTTCATGATATGAGAAATATTTTTCAATAAACAATTTTGATAATTTATTATTGCGTAAGAGAATAGTTTTTTTCCCCTTGGGTATGGTGTTAAATTAAAATTTATAACAAACGATAGTTGTAAGTTTTAGTATTATAGAACCGATTCATATTTTAAACAAACTTTATGGGTGTACTTGTAATTTGTTAAAAAATAAAAGATTTATGTTTCATAATTAACCAAGAATATTTGCGTAATTACGAAAAAATATATTTCATAATTGACCAAAAATGTTTGCGTAATTACGAAAAAACCTGTTACACAATTGACCAAGAATGCTTACATAATTACAAAAAAAACCTTTACTCAACATATAGGCCATCATTCGTAAATTATTCAAAATGAAAAGGGAAAAATAGGAAAAAAAAATGACAAACCATAGCAAGAAAGTGCTTCCTTATAAATATATAAATATATATATTTGTAAATAATGGAAATAAAAACATCATTGAACCATATCCGAGTTGCAGCCTGAGCAATGATTTTTTTCAAGATTCAATAGGAAACAGCCTGAGCACCAGTTTCCACTTCTAACTACTAAACTGAGTTATGGCTTTTGACATTCATGTGTAAATCACAAAAAATGGTCATTGTGAATTAGTAGAACTTTTAAAAAACATAAACAGTAGTTGTCTCCAATTTTAAAAATTACTGTTTCATTCCCCCATCTAAACTTCAACACCTAACATTGAGGTAAATTATTTGTTAAAAAAAAGTGTCCACTAAGAAGGAAAATGAAGAAGAAAATATCAAAATAAACAACACGGAAAAGAGGAAACTTTCGCCAAAAAAAAAAATAAAAAAATGCCATTCCATCATTCCTTTTTTTTGTTTGGTTTAGATCTTTGACGGATAATTATTAATTTTTAAAAATCTATAGCACCAATGATAAGACAGTTTCAAAAGGAAGTAGTTTCTAATGATTTCAACATCATCAGTGGAACTCTACAATTCAAATCTTTTGGTAAACTATACAAGAAAGGTCTATATTTAAATTTGTTAATGTACACTAAACCTAACCCACTAACCTAACCCACTACATCCACTCCACTAAACCTAACACACTTACCATCTCCACTACCACCCACCACCTCCACTACCATCCACTACCACCACTCACTTACCTCACACCTCTCCTATATAATAGCTTGTAACATACAAATCAATATACAACAATCTTGTAATATACACATAAATCAATAATACAATTCTCTTTTTACATTGTTTACTTACAACCTCTCTGCTTCTCCGAGAGCTTCGAACCTCTGCTTACTCCCATCCATGGCGAAATCAGAGAGAATGAGGGATTGCAGGAGAGAGAGAGAGTCTACAAATATGAACAAATTAAAATCCTAAAATAAGAGAGAGAGGTTTCAGTCATGTTTGATTTGCGCAAAAATAGAATTCTACAAATATAAACAAATTAAAATCCTAAAAGTAACCCCAACATTGGAACCTACGTAGAGAAAAGAAAATGAATGATTATTTAAGTTATAATAGAAGAAAAAAAAATGTTATGATTTCTTTTTTTTTTTTATTTGGATAAGTTAGAAATAAAAGAAATGAAATGATTGTAATTTTTCTTATTTTTATTTGATTAGATTTCATAATAGAAAAGAAAAAAATTGTTTTATGTTATATTATCAAAATAATCTTTTTATATTTTCAATCATTTTATTTCTTTTACTTTTACAAGGATAAAATTGATATTATAAAAATATAAGAATCTATTAATTTATTTTCTCTTTCAATATCTCCACTTTTGGAAAAATTGAAAATAAGGGTTATAAGATAAATTAGTTTCTCTCCGTTTTTCTCCATTTCTTCCAATTTCTCTCCACTTAAGTTATCTAAACAAGTAAGAGAAATACATATCTCTCTATTTCTTTCATTTTCTCTCCAAATCACTCAATCCAAACGTAGTGTAAAGAGTTTGCTTTTACCTTGATTTTACTTTACCAGATGAAGAAGGAGTTTTCACGACATGTGTTGGCATGCCATTTAAAATAGATATAGATATATGAATAATATTTAAATTTAATTTGAATATGAAAAAAAAAATTATATTTTAGAAAAGTTAGATATAGAAAATTTAGGGTAATTATAAATACATTTTTTAATGATTTGTTTGAAATATAAATTATTTCTTTTTATTTATTTTATCTTTTGGGTTTGAACCTTTTTATTTGGCTTTAATAAAAAGGTTCAAACATTATCCTGAGCATTATTTACGGCAAGCAGGTAAAGTTGTAAAAAATAATAAATTAAATATTATGTTGTTAAGGACCTAAAATGAAAGGGAGTGTGGTGTAAGTTTTTAAATAATTTTTTAAACAAATTAATTTAGTTGTAAATACACAATTAACCCTTTTAGAGACCAAATATTTTCCACAATTAAAAAATTAGGGCTATAAAAACTCTCTCTTTAGGCCTAATTTTCCAAGTTCACTATCTTTTTTTCAACGGGTTTGCTCTCAAGATTCTCGATCTCACCCTCCTCTCCTCTCATCTCTTCTCTTCTCTGGCAGCGATGGAACGCCTCTCCTCTTTGGCGGCGATCCAAGCCGGATGCGAGATCTATAAGCCTGAATCCATGGTAGATCTATCATTTTCTTTATATGTTTTGCAAATTTGGTGCATCTCTCTCTCTCTCTCCCCCCGCCTATATATATACATAGAAATCTCTAGATCTATGATTTTATGAGATCTATAAGCTTTAATCCATGGTAGATCTATCATCTTCTTCAAATATTCTGCAAATTTTTTTTTAAAGTACTTAAATATTTTTGACATCAATTGGTTACACCTGTGTAGATTTTTTGTGAGAATTCTCTCTTATCTTCATCTCATTTTTCTTTTTGATTCTCCATTCATTAGTTAGCAAACCATAATTGTTCCATTACTTCCTCTCTCCCTCTGGTTGATCTTATCCACTTGATTATATGTATGATAAATGCCTATGATATAGTTGTCATGTTTAGATAATGTGTCTGTGATGACAATCGTAGACCCTAAAAATAGTCAAAATGAGTGTTTTGCCTTTGTGTTAAATTAAAATTTATAACAAACGATAGTTGTAAGTTTTAGTATTATAGAACCGATTCATATTTTAAACAAACTTTATGGGTGTACTTGTAATTTGTTAAAGAATAAAAGATTTATGTTTCATAATTAACCAAGAATATTTGCGTAATTACGAAAAAATATATTTCATAATTGACCAAAAATGTTTGCATAATTACGAAAAAACCTGTTACATAATTGACCAAGAATGCTTACATAATTACAAAAAAAACCTTTACTCAACATATAGGCCATCATTTGTAAATTATTCAAAATGAAAAGGGCAAAATAGGAAAAAAAAAATGACAAACCATAGCAAGAAAGTGCTTCCTTATAAATATATAAATATATATATTTGTAAATAATGGAAATAAAAACATCATTGAACCATATCCGAGTTGCAGCCTGAGCAATGATTTTTTTCAAGATTCAATAGGAAACAGCCTGAGCACCAGTTTCCACTTCTAACTACTAAACTGAGTTATGGCTTTTGACATTCATGTGTAAATCACAAAAAATGGTCATTGTGAATTTGTAGTACTTTTTAAAACATAAACTGTAGTTGTCTCCAATTTTAAAAATTACCGTTTCATTTCCCCATCTAAACTTCAACACCAAACATTGAGGTAAATTATTTGTCAAAAAAAAAAAACTGTCCACTAAGAAGGAAAATGAAGGAGAAAATATCAAAACAAACAACACGGTAAAGAGGAACTTTCGCCAAAAAAAAAAAAAAATACCATTCCATTCCTTTTCTTTGTTTGGTTTAGATCTTTGACGGATAATTAATTATTAATTTTTTAAAATCTATAGCACTAAGTATAATGATAAGACAGTTTCAAAAGGAAGTAGTTTCTAATGATTTCAACATCATCAGTGGGAACTCTACAAATCATTCAAATCTTTTGGTAAACTATACAAGAAAAGCCTATATTTAAATTAAACATAGATCCACATACCTTCTTTTTCCTGCAGAATTCTTTATCACTCCATGACCTTTCATCTACATCCTTTTCTGAGCAAATATTCTCTCTCCATATTGCTGCAGTTAGAGAAGAATTGAACACAATCTTCTCTATAGTCTCTGTTTGTGCGCATGCCTCTACCACATTGATTGCTCCTCTCACCTCCAAATCCACCATTTTATCCTATCCATTCAACCCAAATAATCAATAACTTAAATTGTCGTTAAAAATAAGAATTCTTATAAGATACTTATGGGCCTAATTACCCAATAATGTATGTCAAAATAACGCTCTCTCTTACGTGTGAGACAAAGAGACAGAGAATAAGGTATGTAAAGACAAGACAAAACAGAATGCACAATGACAGAGATAATGAGATGCAGTGGTGGTTCAAGATTTTTTGAGGTTTTAGGCTAAACATCAAAATGAGATTTTGTTCAACCAAGCTTTTAAAAAGTTAGGACCTTCGACAATAAAAAAATTTTGAAACTTTTTTCAGGTCTTAAGTGACCGTTTAAGTGGCCTAATAGTTAAGTCACGTCTCATATCGTGTTAGATTATCACTAGTCCCTAAACATTAAAACTGTTAGGAAATGAGTCTAATAATGAATATCGAGCTAACATAGGAAATCAACTTACATCATACCCATCTTGGCAATCTAAACAGCAGAACAAAGCACAACAGCCCTTTAATGCTTCAAGAATGCTATGATAATCCAAGACATCCACAGTAGACACCATTAGTCTCTCCTCTATCGTCTCCATATCCCTTATTTTCTTCACTATCTCTGTCTCTCCTGCATCAAACCAAAAACCCACCAAAAAAAAAAAAAATTCAATTTAACCTCCCAAAACTGTCCTCCAAAATAGAGAGAGAGAGAGAGAGATCTGACCATTCTTTTGGATAGCTGCATGAACTGTATACCCTTTAGATAACAATCCTTTAAGAATCCAAAATCCCACATAAGTTGATGCATCAAGAACACAAACTGTGGGTTTTTCGTGGTCCATGTCTTCACTTCTAGCTTCAATTTCTTTCATTTTTTTTTTCTTGTTCTAACCTTTGTTATTTTTCTTCTTCTTGAATATGATATATATTATATGTATATATGCAGGTAGATAGGGGATACTAACAGAGGAAGAGTTGGTGAACTATACAACTTCACGTTCTCATCTACTCATCATCTTGTGATGGCTATTGGCAACAGGTTTACAAGTCCTTATGTATTGGTCTGAATTTTCTAAATGTGCCAAGAATGTGTTATATATCTAATATTATATTATAAAATTAACTGGTCAATTTTACGCTGACATGTTGTGTGACGCTTCCCAAAAACAAATTTGTGAAATTCACTATTCAAAATCAATCATTTATAAAACTTACTACAATTGTGTTATGATTACACACAATGTGTGTGTTACAATGGTTGAGAGAAAATGAGAATAAACTGTGTATTATATATATATATATATTGAATTGAATCATATACAATAGAAGCAGCCTGTATTTATAGGGTAAAGAGAAACTTAGATAAGTATAAAAAGAGATAGAGAGAGATAAAAGATAAAGATAAAGATACAAGGAGATGGAGATGGAGATGGAGATGGAGATAGAGATAGAGATAGAGATAGGGATGGAGATAGAGATAAAGAGAGATATAGATAAGATATATCTACAATATAGTATAGATAAGTGTAATAAAGCTAACATACATTAACAGCCGCTGTCAAACTCAACATGGGTAAGTATCAACTAACTTGAGTTTGCAAACCAGATCATTGAAACGACTAGGAGGATGAGCCTTGATGAAAATATCAGCACGTTGATTAGCAGAAAAAATAGGGAGAAGATGAACAATGCCACATGTAACATGCTGTCGAATGAAATGACAATCAATCTCAATATACTTGGTGCGATCATGGAAGACATCATTGTGAGCAATTTGAATGGCACTCTGATTGTCACAATAGAGAGAGGAGATAGCACTAGGCTCTGATACCATGTTACAATGGTTAAGAGAAAAGGAGAATAAACTGTGTATTTTATATATATTGAATTGAATCATATACAATAGAAGCAGCTTGTATTTATAGGCTGTAGAAAAATTTAAATAAGTATAGGAAGAGATAGATAGAGATAGATAGAGATACATGGAAATAGAGATAGAGATAGATAGAGATAGAGATAAGATATATCTACAATAACTAATATACATTAACAGTGTGTAATACCACTTCTAATATATATTATAGTTAGCTTCATAAATTTTCTGAGATCAATTTGTTTTCCACAAGTTGATTTACATTATGAAAAGTGTTTAATTTCAATTGGATTCAATTCATTTTTTCCCAATTCCAAAAAATTAAACAATAATTTGTAAATTTTTTTGTTTGTTTATAAAATTGACTTCAAAAAAGTAAACAAAGAACAAAATTAAATTAATTTGTCCTCAAATAATAAACAAAAAGACTATATTGCCCCTTAATATCCTATTTTTAGATACATAAAAATCTCCGTTAAAATTTCTAAATATCTTAAATATATTTAGTTACTTAAAAAAAAAATTAATACAATCATCTGATCGCGTATTATTATTTCTAGCGCCGTCTTGTGGTCAATTTTTGATCGAAAAAGTTACCCAAAATAGAGGACTGCATTGAGAAAATTATATGGTTACGAAAGTTTGCTACGTAGGTAGAGGATGTGGCCTTGTGGAGAAGATGATTGTAATTTGTAGGTTTAGGCAATGAATCATGTGCTATTTTTGTTTTTGGGTATCTACTACTTCATGTGGTGCAGCCAACTGCCTTTTGTACATTTGGAATTAGGTTCCCCTTTGTTTTTTTCAACAATACCACGTGTCAATCAATGGAGGATTCTTGATGAAATGTCAAGACCACCCTTGAGCAGGTGCAGAGAGCTGGGAATTCTATTGTAAGGGAGAAATAATTGATTTTTGCTCGCAAACATTGACACCCAATTTGCTAAATAGGAAGTAGAAGAGTAGTCAATTGAACTAACTCAACTAATTTATATAATTTATTAATGGAATTTTTTGTTATTAATAGAATTCTAAGCACAAAATTATTGTTATGGTGAGAATGTGTAAAGAAAAGATTTGAATTGTAATTGACCTGATTAAGGTCAAGTTTGGCGTGACTTAAATAATACAAAAAGTTAAAAAGTCACTATTCTATTTAAGTCACATCATCTTATTTAAATCACATCACCTCTCTAACACATCACATCAAACCCAACCCAAACCCAACACATATAACCCAACCCAAACACATCATATAATTATTGGCTTATATGGGTTGGGTTTGGGTTGGGTTTGATGTGATGTGTTAGAGAGGTGATGTGATTTAAATAAGATGATGTGACTTAAATAGAATAGTGACTTTTTAACTTTTTGTATTATTTAGGTCACGCCAAACGTAGGGTAAACTAATAATAAGTCATAATAGTTAGACTTAATTTTCATTAAGTTTTATTGAAAATAAGTTTTGGTAAAATTGTCGGTAAAAATAATTTTTTTGTGATTAATTTTTATATATGTCGCTAAAAATTGACAATTAGTGACTTTTTTTTGTCATGATTTTTACAAATTATCGTTAAAACTTACAATTAGTAACTTTTTTTATGACAAAATTTTCATATAGGACCTATTAAATAATAAATTCACTTATTAAGACCTACACGTAATTACTCAAAAAAGTATCAATGCATCTATCTATACATTATTAATAGAAGTTCAAGGCCAAAGATAATGTAATGGTCCCAATGTGTAAAGGAAAGATTGCGTTATAATTGACAAAAAATAAGTACTTACATTGCTCCTTTCTGATTAAAAAAAATAAAAGTAAAAATTCTTTCTTTAACCTGACTTGATTTTTGGGGGGCTATTTATGTAAAGTTTATTAAATGTGAAAATATTATGTAGGATTGTATTACATCGTACTCGCATGGTGTAAATGATCAATAAAATATTATAAATAGGATTAAGTGAGCATTTTTGGTCTCGCTCTAATTCAACTATATAATTTTTACTACTGCAATGTGATATTTTATTACAAAAAATTAGGATTTAAAGATAAAAATTTATGGACAAAATTATTTTTTATGGACCAAATATTTTTATTGCGAAAAGTGTCGCCATTATATTTTTAGCCATGAAAATTGAACATTAGTGATGAATTATCCTTTTGGAACCAAATTTTTTGTCTAAAAAAGTAAACCCTTTTGAGACCAAACTATTTTGTCATTAAAAGTATATTTATTAGCGACATTTTCAAAATTTTATCACTAAAAGTTTCATTTTTGACTTTTTGGGACAACCTTTAGCGGTTATTCTCATGACGATAGAAATTAGTCTCTAAATGTCTTTTTGCAATAAAATTTTCACTTTTAAAGAAAAAAAAATTTGATTTATAAAACTGTTATATGTTATAGTGTTTTTTAATTTATTAATAATATCGATATTTGATATTACCATTATATTATGATATTTACTCCTATTCAAAACTCAAATTTAACATTTTTTAAGGTGAAGATGTCTTAATTTTTTTTTGTTGGCTTTTAAATACACAACTAATCTAAATAAAAAGGAGACAATTTGAAAATGATATTACCTAACGAATGGGAATGTTGGGCAAGTGGACAAGAATTAACTTGAGGCAATTCTATTGGCCCAAAGGAACACTATGGATATTGCCAACTTTGCAAGGCAGAGAAAATGCAATTGAGTCAGTATTCTTAAAAGCAACAAAAATATTTTGGTGTATATATGTGATGTGATTACTTGCAAGTATAAGTAGCAGAGCTAATTAGTATTCGGACATGTGGCAATGGGTAATAGAAGAACAGAAAGTTAGACAGACCAAAAGAAGAAAGGTAAAGAACAAGTATGAGGACATGGATTCACCAGAAGATGTCAAAAAGAAAATATGATGTTTTGTTTGGTTACCAAGAAAAACCTAACTGTTCAGGGAAGACCTCTCTATGTATGTCACTGAATATTGACCCTCTTACTATATTCATCTTATTTGGGGTTAGGCAAACTCATAAAAAAATTAAAAAAAAAAATTAAATATATTTTTTATTTAAAATATAAAAATAACAAGTGCAAAAAAAATTAAAAAGATGAACACTGTTCTGATCAACTGATCGGACAACTTAAGAAAAGTCCTAATTTAAAAACATAAAACACCACACTTAAAAATATGAACTTTTCTTAAGTGTGCAGCTTACACCTTACACTTACGCCTTTTTGTTTGCTGTCCTGTTTTATATTTACACCTTCCACTTACACCCTTTGTGTTGGTTGCATATAGTGTACAATCTTAAGGGATTGCACACCATAACAACACCCAATTTAAATAAAATTGTGTTTGGAACGCCTTCCCACACACAGAGCCAAAGTTTTGTCCATACTCTTGTCAGGAAAATGCACCCGCAGTTGAGCTACTCCTCACCTCCTTTCTCTCTCTCTCTCTCTCTCTCACTCACAACCTAAATCCAGGTCATGTGATGTGGCCGCTCTGTAATCAGTTTCGTTGGTTTCAGTAACGTCTCGTTTAGGGATAAATTATTTTAATAATTTTTTAATTTTTTTATAAAAAAATATAAAAATAAATTTAAAAAATGATGTGAAATTTATAATAATTTTTTAATTAAAATATATAATTAACAAACGAAATCTAAGGATTAGTTTGGGATGTTCTAAAAAAGTGTATTTTTTGACTTATTGACTTATATGGTTTGGGTTTGGGTTGGGTTTGATGTGATGTGTTAGAGAGATGATGTGATTTAAATAAGATGATATAACTTAAATAAGATAGTGACATTTTAACTTTTTGTATTATTTAATAAATATCAAACTTGACCTAAATCTCAGAGACACATAAACGAAAGTAAAAATGTATAAAAGGCAAATTTGACCGAGTTTTTTTGTTTTTGTTTTGGGCTCATCATTGTGTGTGAGTGGGGTACAGTTTTTTTGGACTTATTTGTATGATTTAAATTATTTATTTATTTGTAAATTTTGTTACAAAAATTATTTATGACACAAATTAAAAAATAAATTATTTATTTTTAAAATCATATTTTTTGACAAAATTTTAAGGTTAATCAAATAGATATGATCTACTTAACAAATATTATAAATTGAATGGTTTTTTTTTATTAGAAAAAAAAAGATATTTTATGGAGACATCATAGCATCCTTAGATTCTAATTTTGAAATAATCGGTTACTTGTCAAATTTAATTTAATTTGAAAAAAAAAAATCTATCATCAAAATACACAATAAATCTCATCCACTCGCCACAACAAGAGACCACATGACAATCAAAATATAACGCACAAATCCAAAGATAAATTACACCTCCAAGAATCGATCCCTGCAAATCCTTGTTAAAAGCACATGCATAATTCATTGGGCCACCACTCCGGTGGCCTACAAATTGAATGATTTGAACTTAGGAATTGACGTGGGCCTATTGACCTACTAAGGTCAAGTTTTACATCCTTAAAAAAAATTTAAAAAGTCAAAAAGTTACTATCCTATTTAAGTTACATTATCTTATTTAAGTCACATCACATCACCTCTCTATCAATTATTTCAAACCCAACCCATACCCAACTCATATTTTATAAAAAATGAAAAAGTACACTTATTTAGAACACCCTAAACGACCCTTAAGCTTGCCCTTGCCCAACATGGCCATCATTTATAGAGCTTGAAATAATGGTAGAATTATGGTTTAAGCAGGTAAATTTTTTAGACCAATTATAATTTATTACTTTTTTTAATAATGGACTCCATTATTTGATTTAAACAATTAAGATTATGGAATAATTACTTTTTTTAATAATTGACTCCATTATTTGATTTAAACGATTAAAATTATGGAATAATTACCAAATAAATTTATCTTCACGTACTAATCATTTTTTGTCTATCCTATTTTGGTGTTTAAATTTTAAAGTGTTTTAATTTGAGTGGTGCTATTAGTACCCTATAAATTATTTTGGACCTCCATTTCTTTGGGACCCTACTTATAAATTTGAAACTCTCAAATTTTCTTTTCCTCTCCCCAAATAATATCAAAATTATCCTTGTAAAAACATTTCAACCATTGAATGCACATCCCTCATATCTCAAAAAATCCATTTTTAAAAAAATCCTAACAAAACCCACAAGAAGAAGAAAAGCCAATGTGATTACTGTCTCTGTTGCCTAATCCACCATTGTCACAGTTGGTATGCTCTCTCTCTCTTTCTCTATATAGATATAATTTATTGGTTTTCTCGTAATAATTTATTCTCTTGTAGGAAAAAAATTATAATAATTGGTTTGTTTGGTTTTGTTGGTAGATATTATAAAATTGTGAGTTCAGCAAAGAATTACGTAGAACTATTATCAAAGATACGCAATGAAGGAATAACTTTTGAACTTGATAATGGATTTGGTCTACTTTCGATAACTTCTGCAAGTGTTAAAAATTTTGACCATTTAATATGTTAAGAAATTTCCATGTTCGAACATGCATTCCCGAATAAATAATAAATGTTCGGTTACTAGTTCCCTTACAAATAAACAATGTTCGATCCTGTATTCCCAAATTTCAATCACATGTTCGGGGAGTTCAGTCCCGAAAAAATGATGAACGAATTTTATTATTTTTACCATTTTTTTTCAAGAAACTTATCCTTACAAGACCAACATCCTCTGAGCTAAGAACAACATCAAAGCTATGAACCTCCTCTAAGTTTTTGTTGTTGTACTCCTCTCATCTTATGGAGCTGTGGTTACCATGAAAACTTCCACTCATTGTCATTGCCGGAGAGGCGTAAGTAGTCAAATGGTTGCCACTGTCACGGTCGAAATATTGTCGCCAAAGGATTTTTAAGGTTTTGAGGGTGGGTAGATTTTGAAGATGGGATTTGGGAAAGATGGATAAGTAGTGATGGAGCTGAGTGCTCTCATAAACCCTAATTCATAATGTAGTGAGTAGGGATGTAATCGGTTCGGTACGGTCCGTATTTAGGTAAAAAATTACACCGAACCGATAATTTCGGTTTTATTATTTTGAACACCGATACAGACCGTTTCTCCCGTCAAATCGCACCAAACCAAATCGATTAAAACGGTTCGGTTTGGTACGGTTTAATCAGTTTAAAATTTTTCAAACTTGAGCCACTTTTAAATATAATCATTAATCTATATAAAAATATTAAATTAGTTATTTGTCTACCATTTCAAACATATCTAATCCATCCATTTAATACATTATTTTTTAATTCCTAAATTAACAAAAACCAAAAAAAAAAGAAAAGTTTTAAAATACTAAAATTTCAAGAATAATGAGTTAGAGTTAAGATTATATATAATAAGAGTTTACAAACTTAGATTATAAAGATGATAAGGTTAATTAATTAAGGTTAATAATTTATTATACTTATTAATATAATTATATTATTAGATTATATATATTATAAATACAATATATGTTGAAGCAGTCGGTTTCGGTTTAGATCGGTGCATAAGGTGCTTAAACCGATACCGAACCGAAAATCGAAAAAAATCAAATTTAAAAACCGCACAGACTGATTCTTGTTAAAAAATAGACCAAATATAGCCGGTTTGGTCCGGTTCAATCGGTTTGATTAGTTTTTTCGATTTTTCTTACATCCCTAGTAGTGAGTGTAGATTTAATTGTGAGATGAAGTGTCCCAAAATTAATGATATTCTTTTTAATAATTTTATTTGAGGTTATTATTGTAATAATAAAAAAAAAATTAAAAATTGAAAGGCCTAAAATAATTTATGGAGTGTTAATAGCAGCACTCTTTAATTTTAGTACTAAATATCAATTTTTAATTAATTTAAAATTTTGAAAGTCTCTTATTAAAAAATTTCAAACAAAATCTATTCAGATATAAAAAATTATAAAGAAAAAAAAATCAAAATTTTAAAACATGACAAATAGTAAAACTCGATATATATAAAACTGACTATCTCTGTCGCGGACTACTTAGTAAAACTTTTTTATTTTAAAAATCGATGTCAAAGTCTTTGTTGTAAGAAAAATTAATTATATATTTTAGAAAGATTAATTATTAAAAGGCAAAGACAGATTTTTTAATTTTTATTTTTTAATTATTAACTTTTAATTTATTGAAAACTGCACCAAACAAAGCCAATATCAACTTGTTATTCGTTCCCCAAATGCTACTAATTGAAATGGCACGTGAGAGAAAAGGGTACAAGTGAGGAGATGTTATAGTTTAAGACATAAAATAAAATAGTTTATTAATTATTTAAAACGAAGGGAGATTCCTTTATCTTTTACTTTTTAATTATTAACTTTAAATTTGTTAAAAACTACACCAAACAAAGCGAATAACAACTTGCTATTTGTGCCCCAAATACTACTAATTGAAATGGCAGGTGAGATAAAAGGGAACAAGTGAGAAGAGACGTTGTAGTTTAAGACATAAAATAAAAATCCCAACTTGTTTGGTTTTGTTTGTCTGAAAACAGTTTTTAAAAAATTTTATTTTCTTATTTCATGTAATTTTTTTTTTTGTTTTTACTGAATTTTTTTAATATTTTAAGTAATTTTTTTTTAATTTTTAGACACACTTAACATAAATACACATAAAAAATATAACTTTTGTGAAAAAATCTTTTAAAAATTCAATAAATACCAAAAATACAAAAAAAAATATGAAAATTTAATATATTTTTCGTATTCTTATGTATTTGTTAATTTTTAAAAATATTTTTTCATAAATTTTTTACTTTTTGGATACATCTAAGTAAGTGCATCTAAAAAAAGTAAAAAAATGCTTAAAATTTTAAAAATATTCACTAAAAACAAAAAAAACACGTAAAATAAAAAAACTCAGTTTTCAAAAAACTTAATCCAGAAAATTCAAACCAAACACTAAATTTATTTATTTATTTATTTTTTTAAAAAAAAAAAAAAAGAAGAAAGAAAAAGAATTAACTAAACTGCAGCATCAACCACCAAGAAATTATTAAATCTAAAGACTAAATTTGTAAATAATTGATATTTGCTCACAACTACAAGCTAAAGAAGCTTGAAATAAAAGGACAAAATCCGGAGTCCTGAAAATATACCACTGTTGACAATTTAAGAAAGTCATGAAAACAAAAGGCCAGCTAAGGATAACAAGATGACATAATGCATTTCAGAAACCCTCTGCAAACTTTAAAGTCTGTGTAAGAGACTTACGCGGAACAAGTTTCATCGCGCCTCATCATGGAGGACTTCATGACTGAAGATTATTTTGAACAAGTAAACTTCAAGCTTCAATCCTAAGATTTCCGTGTAATTTTACTTTAGAACCAGAGACAGTTTTAAAGTATAGTCGATGATGCACTAATGACCATACGACACCATGACATTGGGCAACATGATTGGCAGCCCGACAAACCAGTAGTGCAACTCCTACCCTCCATCACTACTCAACCAAAATGAACTTTAAAAAGGCAATCTGAGAGCTTAGCATCAAACAGTTGAGAGATAAGACATCATGTATGTACTTCAAAGAAACATGGCATCAAAGTACTCATAGTTGTCAACTTTGACATTCTCAAATAGCTTGTCCATAAAAGAGAACTTTGAACTTGAACCATGTAAGTAGGCATCAATCCATAACACAAGATACTTGAAACTATACAAGTAGATATTTGTCAAAAAAGTAGATAAAATTAAAATAAAAAGCACGATTCACATCTCAAAAATACTCTTTTATTAAGTTAATAAATATTTCCGACAATATTAATTTACATAAATTAAGTAAAACTATTTTCCAAAATTGCTACCGAAATTTTATTTGTATCATGCGTCGTATATATATATCGTATATGTATCGTAAGATACATTTAATTTAATATACGTATTGATAACAATATCGATCTACCTCTAAAAAGTATCGTATCATGAATTGTAAGATATTGATGACACTTTCATTCTCAGCAGAGGCTGAGTTTGCAACCAAATAATAAACCCATAGCATTTCTTCACTTTCATGTTACCTTGAGGGTTTACAGGTCAGTGGACACAGTTGAACTAGGGCTCATCTGCAGATAGTCCACCTGAAGAAGAGATTGCAAGATGAACCATGAATACGAAACATAAAAAATAAAGAACCATAGCTGGAAACAACAAAGGAGCCTTACATTTGGTCTTGTATAAAAATTGAATCTCTTCAAAAAGAATCAAATTCTTGTAGAGTTTCATCCTGAAGGCTCCACTTGTTGAACTTCCTAAAGTGATTCATGTTAGGTTGGACCTATTTTCCAATATTGGGTAGGCAAGATATAGAAGACGCAATTCAAACCCAGACTTTAGAAGCACAAACCCCACTTTGTGGCAAAAACGCAAATAGAGTAACTAGCCAAGCAAGTACACATCTCAACTGCATGAAGGGATCTTCATTGTCCTAGCACAGCCCACTTGTCAATGTCTTGTTGAAACCAGAAATTAGTTCTACGTTAATGGTATGACCACCTCAGCTCCTGAGAAAAACAAATATTGGAAGTATAAAGTTTCTTAAAATTTTAGAATGACAGCTGAAAACTACTGTAATGAAATTATAAAATTATGGGAAATTGCGATTAAAGGGCAAATAGAAAAGGAAAAAGAAACACACCACATAAAAAAGCTGTGTCATTTATGAAGCGGAACACAAAATAATGGAGAAAAGCTGTCGTAGAATTCACCATAAACAAATATCAGAATAATTCGATATATTCAAGTTTTTATGGCTTGTTTTATTTTTTACAGCTATCCTTGTAAGAAAATAAATTTCATTGAGATGTCACAAACCATTAACCTAATCTAACTTACCACTGTTCAGGATTTCTGAACAGATCACTTGGGTCAATATGCAATGGGCTGTCCCAGATTAAAGTCTAAGCACTGATAATTGTCATTACAAGATATAACTCATACTCTCTGCAAGAAGGCATTTGATGTCTCAAAAAAATCAAGCCTATTGAGTTTTACATAGTATATTACTTCAAAAGTTACAGTGCGCAAACACGCACATAGAAAGATGGAACAAGCGTTAGTCACTAGCTCATAGAAAATTAAATGATATCTGAAGTCATATGACTCATTTCAACCTAATAATGAATTCAATGGACTATCAAATTTTGGATCTATCACTTCACCTTGAATATTTCTTCAACCATAGCTCCTACTAATTGTTTATAACGTAAACTATATACTCAAGGGCCTATTTGAGCTTTACTTGCACAATTAGAAAAGAAACACTAGAAAACATAAAATACTAGTCTATTCCAGAAATACACATCTTTAAAAGTTAAAACCTCGTCTAAGACATGTAAGATTTGGTTATCTATTTGAAAAACAAAATAGAGAACCGCACAAGCTTTATAAAATTATACCATGTAGACTTAACATAGAGTATTCATTGACTATAAAAACCTTGCACAAAGAAAACCTAATTTTCTCATGACCAATATGGTTAATTCATAACTTATCTTCTAACCAAGAAATGAATGAATTTGCTTGTTAAGTAAAGATTCCCTTACTAAAAAGTAATTGAAATTGACATGGCATTTTAATTACCTGCTTGTCCTTGCTAAAAATCAATGATGCATTGAAAGCTCATTCCATCATACTATTAATTATGGGAATCTCTTTAACAATACATCCAAATACAGCCATTAATTTTGTCCTGTAGTAGAAATTTCTATTGGTACGAAACAGGGAATTGGGCAACTGTAGCCCATCAGAGACTTGCCCACATGGCATTTTCTCAAATTACATGCATATAGCTTGGTTACTTTACCAGAAAAATATCTAGCCCGTGTCCCTCTTTCACTTTAGATTTTCAATATTATCTTTTGTTTTTATATTCCACCTTTTCCCTCATTCTTATTCTCGTGAGTTAACACTAAATTTTTTTTTTTTTTGATAAATAACCGAACTTTATTGAAAAGCGTCAAGACGATGCAAATAATACAAAAAAAGGAAGCCATAGAGGCTCCACAAACAAACCAACTAACAAATCAAATCTTCCACGAATTCTACAAAACCCAAGACATCCGGATCAACTGATCTAGTCACCCAACCATACAATATTGTAAGAAGCCGCTGTTCTAACCAAAGGACTGAATGAGACAGCCCTTGAAAGACGCGCCTATTTCAAGGAAGCCATAGAGACTCTACAAACAAACCAACTAACAAATCAAATCTTCCACGAATTCTACAAAACCCAAGACATCCGGATCAACTGATCTAGTCACCCAACCATACAATATCGTAAGAAGCCGCTGTTCTAACCAAAGGACTGAATGAGACAGCCCTTGAAAGACGCGCCTATTTCGCTCCAACCAAACCAACCATAGAATACAATGAGAAGCAAGCATCCACGCCTTCCAACGTCTCCTCCCAACTCGACCCCCTGCCCAGCTATGCAGGACTGCCTGAATCGATGCCAGCTGCACCCAAGCCAAACCAAAAGTCGCAACAACTAACATCTAAAGGCGAGAAGATACCGGACAATGAATGAGCAAATGTTCCACCGACCCCGTAGCACCACAACACAAGCAACACCAATTAACCAATATGTGGCCACGACGAATTAAATTATCCAAAGTCAAAATACGCCCCAACATGGCTGTCCACACAAAAAAGGCCACCTTAGATGGCGTACCCGGAACCAGACACACTTCTAAGGAAAAGCAACCACCTCCTCATGAGCAAGCACACCATAATAAGAAAATACAAAAAAAGTGCCCTTAGCCCCAGGACATTTCCATACCAAAGAGTCCCATCCAACCTCTCCCACTCTCAACTCATATAAAAAAGCCAACAACTCCACCAACTAACCTTGCTCCCAATCCTGAATAGCACGACGCAGGCCCATATTCCAAATAGTCGAAACCCCCTGGCCAAACCGCACAGCATTCACCAAAACCTCAGCATCAACGGTAATACCAAAACCAAAGGGAACCGCTTTTCTAAAGTGAGGTCACCGCACCACCGATCTCGCCAAAACCGAACCCTATCCCCTATCCTAACCTTGAGCTTCACCCGCTTCTAGAACTCCTCCCACCCCAACCAAATCCCCTTCCATAGACCATGACCATGAGAATGCCCTACCCGCCCCGAACACCACCCACCATGCCCCACACCAAACTTTGCTGCCACCACCCTTCTCCAGAAACGGTCCTACTCTGCCACAAACCGCCACAACCATTTCCCTAACAGGGCCACATTGAACAAGACCAACCTTCGAATCCCCAAACCCCCCTGCACCTTGGGACGACAAATCCGATCCCAGGCCATCAAGTGATAATGAGAACCCTCCCCCCCAGTACCCCACAAGAAATCCCTCTGCAACTGCTCTATCCGCTTGGCCACTGACACCGAGATCACATGGACGGACATAAAATATGTCGGAATGGTAGATAGAACACTCTGAATCAACGTAAGTCTCCCCCCTTTTGATAAATACTGCCATTTCCATCCTGCTAACCGCAGCTGCACACAGTCCACCACCCTATCCCACACCCCTTTAGCCTTAAAAGACGGCCCCAAAGGTAATCCCAAGTACGTAACTGGCAAAGTCACCACCTTACACCCCAAAATAGCTGCCAACACTGGAATCGTAGCCACCTCCCCCATTGGAATCAGTTCTGATTTTGCTAAGTTCACCCGAAGACCTGAGACTACCTCAAAACACAATAACACACATCTCAAATAACCAATTTGATCCACATCCGCATCGCAGAAAATGAGTGCATCATCTGCATAGAACAAATGGGAAACCGACAAAATTGCAGGAGCCATCCCCACCACAAACCCCCACAACCGTCCTCCCTGCACCGCCCTAGATAACAACCGCCCCAGTGCTTCCATCACCAATATAAACAATAAAGGAGATAAAGGATCTCCTTACCAGAGCCCCCTATAAGTAGAAAAGAAACCTGCTGGAGGTCCATTTACAAGAACCGACATCCGTACCGTGGAAATACAGAATTGGATCCAACGCCTCCACCTAACCCCAAAACCGAGTCTGTCCAACATATACAATAAAAATTTCCAATTAACATTATCATAAGCCTTCTCAATATCAAGTTTGCAAATAAGCCTGCCTGCCCTTGTCGGAGTCGAGAATCCACACATTCATTTGCCACTAAGACCGCATCTAGAATTTGCCGCCCACCCACAGAAGCATTCTGAGACTCGGACACGACCCCTTCCAATACACCTCGTAACCTATTAGCCAACACTTTCGCCAAAAGCTTATACACACTGCCTAACAGACTGATAGGTCGGAAGTCCCGAATATCCTCCATCCTACCTTTCTTTGGGATCAAAGCAATAAACGTGGCATTAAAGCTACGCTCAAACTCACCAGTCTGATGAAACTGCCCAAACATTGCCATCACATTGGCCTTCACCACCTCCCAACAATGCTGGAAAAATGCTAAAGTAAAACCATCTGGACCTAGCACCTTATCCCCAAGCATACTGCGTAAAGCCTCCAACACCTCATCTTCTGCGAACGGGCGCTCCAACCTACAATTGTGTCTGAAATAACATTAAAAGAAACACCGTCTAGGCTTGGCCTCCACACCTCTCCCTCATCCCCAAAAAAGTGCTCATAGAAGCCTACAATACCGGCCCTGACCGCATCCGAAGAAGACAACTCCACACCATCTACATGCATACGACCTATCTGATTCACCCTCCGATGGGCATTCGCCATACGATGAAAAAACTTTGTATTTCGATCACTATCCTTTAACCACAGACATCTAGATTTTTGCCGAAAGCTAATCTCCTCCATATGGGCAACTTGACCAAACTCCTTGCAGATATCATCTCGACGACGAAGATCCACCGCAAACAATACCCCCGCAGACCCTATGTCGTCCAACTCCTGCAACACAGCGAGCACATCGGCCTTCTAAACCTCTAAGCGTCTAAACACTTTCCTATTCCATCTCTTCAAATCGGACTTAAGAAGTTTCAATTTCTGCGCCAGACAACAACTAGGCAAGTTAGAGATCACATAACTATCCCACCAGCCCTTTACCCGCTCCAAAAAACCCTCAGACAACAACCACATGTTCTCAAACCAAAACGGCGTCGGCCCACTCCAGATGCCCCCACTATCCAATAATACTGGCCAATGATTGGAAACTGGACGATGCAAACGTGTTTGGGCACGTGTGAAAAATGCTCCTCCTAGTCCCCTGTGACCAAAAATCTATCAAGCCGAGACATCACTCCACCGCCAGACCATGTAAATGCACCACCTTGCATCGAAAGATCCACTAACTCCACCTCATCAATGAATGACGAGAACGTCCGCATAGAAGCCGTTACCGAGCTTGCCTGCCTCTTTTCCTCCAAACTCCGCACCACATTGAAGTCACCACTGACACACCATGGAACCCCCCACCGAAAGACAATGTAGTGAAGCTCCTCCCAAAAACCAATCTGCTCTCCTCCATGAACAGGCCCATAAACACCTGTAAAGGCCCAGCAGAAATCATCCTCAACACATCGAAAAAATCAAGAAATGGAAAAAGCCCCCACCTCCTCCTCCTCCTTTATTACCACCCTCCTAGCCCAACAAAAAAGAACTCCCCCAGCCACCCCTTGGGCAAGTAAAAACGTCTAATCCACAAACCGACCACCCCACAACTTCCGAACCATCTCTGCCCCCAAACTCTCCAACTTGGTTTCCTGTAGACAAACCATATCCGCACGCGCGCTTTTTAACAAAGATTTCACCATCACCCGTTTTCCCCTATCATTTAAGCCACGCACATTCCAAGTCAACAATTTTAACCACATTGCAACAACAATGGATTGCCACGACCCTTCCTAGCAGCCTGTCCATCCCCATCTTCACTCCGATCATAATTGATAGAACACTCCAATCTTCGTAATTCCCTAACACTCTTCCCATTCTGTTTCATAGGCGTCACCACTTGGCAGTTCGGGGCACTCTCCCTCCAGGAGCCCTCAATGGCAGAAAATAAAACAAATGCCTCATGCTCATGACCTTTAAAAGACACCCCCAGAAATTGGCTAACCTCATTAATGCAAGAAAGGACCCACCTCGATACCTCCTCGGAACTCGGAATCACATCCTCCTGGATGTCCACTGCTATGCTAGAAATGCCCTCCTCAACCGCAACATCTCCCACATCTACCCCAACAGTCACCACCTCAGGTCGGACCACCAACGCTAGCTGATATACCAGTGTGGCCCAACAACCTTCATTGTCAGTCCCCTCTGTCTCGCACCTTTCCCCGCAACTCAGCTCCTACAAACACTGTTCCTCCGCCGCAAGATCAGCATAGTGCGTCGGAGAAACTCCAACAGCAGACCCAGGCGACTATAAGGAGCCTCCGAAACCCTCCTCAGCAGCCCTCACATGAGGTCGCACAGACTCCGGCGACACTTCCATGGCAGTATAGGTCCGACGAAGCTCCAACCCGTCGCGAAGGGAAGCAAAAACCCAACTAAGTTCTGGATTGGATTGACCCGGCTTGGGTAGGGCTGGATCTTTCTCCATTGGGCCTAAACCACACCTAGGGGGGCTCATAATAACCTTTCCACAAGCTAGGCCTACTTTTGGATGGTGATGGACCGGAGCCCACCTTTGCTGGCCCAAAGAAACATCAACAGCCTTTTGGGCCTCAAAATGGCCCAACTATTGTCCTAGTAAATCCCTTATTGAGCCCACTGCAAAGCCACCTTTGGCATTAGGAATAACCCGAACCCATTTGCCCTTAAAATCAGTGGGTTGCCTAAATCTCTGCTTATATTCGTTGACCCCCACGATCTTTGCAAATCACCGATTCATTCGCCGCAGATCTCGCCCTTCCATTCCCCGACCAGAGCCACCCGCCTCGCCGACGGACGGCGCCACAGGTTCAACCAGCAGCCGGACCTCCACCCATATTGGTAAGGAATATGTCCATGATCCCCACTGAAGCGAGATAGTCGACGGCGACTTCTCCAAACCCCTCACACACAGTCGAAGAGAGCCCAGATTCGTCGATGACTCGTCCGCCTCCACAAATCCACCACACTGGTTGCCAATCACACGATAAACCTCCGCTCCACGAAGATGAAGCGGCAAGCCCGTCACTCGGATCCATACTTTCGGTCCTAGTGTTGAGTTCGTCCCCGAAGCGCAAAGGGCCAAGGGTGTCCATTCCAACAACAAATCACGACCATCAAGAGTCCAGCGCCAACGAAACAAAGCCTCCGCCTCGAGTCTGGAAAAGAAACAAACAAAAAAGCCTGATCACCAAGTGGACGCACCTCCACCTGCCCCGACGCCTTCCACCATCAACGGACCCAGTCTGACATAGCCGCAAAGCTCAAGCCTTTACCACCCACGCCCCTCAGTTGTCCCGCCAATGCCCGATCCTAGTGTTTTTAAAGGCTCAAGGCGCACTAAGGCGCTGAAGGTCTCTCGGGGCCTAGGCGCAAGGCGAGGCGCAGGCTTTATTGAATTAAGGCGCACAGTCTTAGTAAAAAATAAAAAAATTAACATAGACTAATCATTCATAGTACTAAGACAATTTTTTTAAAAATAAAAAGTAATCAAGATTCAAGACAAAATATAAAATAATTCTCAAAGCCATAAAAGTGCATATTACATAATATTCTAATTTTCAAAGATAAAATAATCCACATTCAATAAAATAAAAATAAAAACAAAACATAAACACTAAACATTCAAAACATAAATATCCAACAAATACTAATATATGTCTTAACACTTCAAAACATCAATATCAAAAGAAAAAGGTTAGAACTTAGGTCGGTCAGTCAATCATCATCCTCAACATTTGGCAAGCAAACTATCATCTTCTTCTCCATAAGTTGATTTATATCCCTCAACATCTTCCTCCTCTGTGTCATCTGAGCCCGCTTCCTCTTCATCTATTAATTGAAGTGGAGTTAATCTTGATGATCTAGATATCCTCAGTTGTGCCTTTGAGCGTGAACTTGTTGCTCTACTTGCATGACTACTTTCTTCTACTCCAGAAGTTCTAGCAATAGTGGCCCACGTCAAGCCATCATCATCATCATCAAACATAGGTCATTATTTTTATTTGATTCTCCATCCATCCTCCCAAGCAACCACTCATTGTTTTCATCAATATTTTGCAAAGATATGGGATCAAGAGTGTTGCGCATGTCATACCTAAATCTCAATGTTCTATTATATTTGACAAACACTAAATCATTGAGACGTTGTTCCAATCTATTTCTTTTCTTGCTATGAAGCTACAAGTATTAAAAAGATATTAAATTCTATATAATGAGAATAAAAAATATTTGAATTGAACAAAAAATTAGTTAGAATGTTAAATACTCACACGTTCAAATACACTCCAATTTCGTTCACAACCCGATGAACTACATGTTAGGCTAAGGACTTTTATGGCAAAAGTTTGCAAGTTTGGAGTTTTAGGACCATATGATGCCCACCAATCAATTGCGATAATCACTAATTAGAAATAATTGTTACCAAGTATTCAGTTTTACTAAAAGTATTACTAAAAATAAACTCTATGAGTCTACAATATATTACCTGGTGCTCTTGCATTTTTTTACCTAATCGCAACAGACTTGCCAAAAAGACTCTCAGCTTTCATATAAATACTCATCTCATTAGTGATCAAATATTGAACAGTGACATCCAGGACCAACCTTTGCATGCATTCATAAAACTCATTCATCACTTCATGATCTTTTTGCACCTCTAACACTTTTGGGTAAAAGAATTCTGGGCTAAGAAAGTGCGCAGCTGTATGTAAAGACCGATGCAATTGGACATCCCATCTTTTGTCGATGATTTCGAAGATTTTATTATACTTCTCTTCTTTATGATCAAATGAACTTGCAATGCATTCTTTTGCCCTATCCATTGCCTCATAAATGTATCCCATTAGAGGTTTCTTCTCGGTATCAACCAATCTAAGCACTTTGACAAGAGGACCCAAGACCTTAAGGGCAAAAAACAGTATTCCAAAATGAAGGCATCAACAAAGTTTGTGCCATTCTTTTACCTTGTAGCTCATTTGCTCATTTGCTTGAGGTCCAGTCTTCGGAGGCGACCATCTTTCTCAAATTGTTTTTTTGTTGATGCATCCTAGACAAAGTCAGAAAGGCGGTTGTAAATCTAGTTTTTGCAGGTTTGATCAAATTCTTCAGGTTTTTATAGCGCCTCATCATGTTAAGCAACGAAGGTCGGTTATAAATGTAGCCATGTACTGCCATACCCCTTTCAAATATCTTTTTCAGTCTAGGTATCTTGAAAATGTCTTCTAACATCAAGTCCAAGCAATGAGCAACACATGGTATCCAATACAAGTGTTCATACTTGGCTTCCAAAAACCTCCCTATAATGTAACGATAACGAAGAATTATTATTTTCAATTTTTAAATTTTAAATTTTAAATACAAAACAAACTATGAGTAAACAATTTTGATGTAAGGAATGAGGAAATATTCTTACCCGCCAACACATTAGCTGCAGCACTATCAGTGATAACTTGCACCACATTCTCTTTTCCAACTTTCTCCACAAATTTGTCTAGTAATTCAAATAACTTTTGCCCATCCTTTGAATAGCTAGAAGCATCAACCGACTCAACAAACATGGTTCCTCTTGGATAATTAACTAAAAAATTAATCAATGTCCTTCCTCTCTTATCAGTCCAGCCATCAGCCATTATGGAACACCCGTATTTTCCACAATCCTCTTTATGATTCTTTATCAAATCTTCAGTATGTTTCACTTTTTTTTTAAGTTGGGTAACCCGCACTTCATGGTAAGTTGATAGCTTCATACCAGGACCATATTGCCCAATGGCTTCAATCATTGGTCCAAAACTCTCATAATTTACTGCATTAAAAGGGATACCAGCATCATACATCCACTTTGCAAATCTTTGCACTGCCCGAGCTCTCATTTCTTTTTTGTAAGGGTCATTTGCATCAATTTTGATTTTCTTCCCTTTTGCTTGGTCTCTTCGATTTTTCACCACTGATTCAAGATTGGGTGTGAAGTAAACATCCATAGGCCCTTTTCTCTTTGGCTTTTTTTATTTGGATTTGAATGAACCTTAGCTGCTACTTGTCAACTTACGGCGTTGATTGACATTGATCTCAACAACATCTTCATCTTCATCTTCATCTTCATTTTCCATATCCATGTCATCGAAATCAGGCAACATGTTCATTTCTTCTTTTTGTGTCTTCTTTTTTGACATGAACTCTCTAATCCCTTCTCTTACATGAGTTGGACACTTCGGGCAAGCAGTGACATTTCTATAGCCTCCCGCGAGGTGTTGTTTCACCCGATAAACACCACCATTTGATACTTTACCACAAAAATTACACTCGAACTTGTTTAAATTATTCTCCTCTACCAAATGGGCATATTGCCACACCGGATCTTTTTTATTACTTTCCGATGTCATTTTCTACACAACAAATTTAATAAATGGAAAATAATTTCAGTGTAATGTAATGTGTGATGAATTAATTATTAGTAATTTTTTTCCCCTAACAGATAAAGGAAAAAAATGTTAGGGAAAAAAAAAGACCAATAACACATTGTATTAATTAATTATTTGTGAATAATTAACTATTTGTAATTTTTTTTTCAGTGTATTTTTTTTAGTTAATTAATCAAAATCAGAATCTATTTTTTTTCCCTAACAGATAAAGGAAAAAAAAAGACCAATGGCACATTGTATTAATTAATTATTTGTGAATAATTAATTATTTGTAAATTTTTTTCAGTGTATTTTTTTTAGTTAATCAGAATCAGAATCTTATTTTGTATTATAAAGGAAAAAAAAAAAAGACCAATAGCAGCACATTGTATAATTAATCAAAATCTTATTTTGTATTTGTATTTGTATTTGTATTTTTATTTTCCTGACAGAGACTCAAAGGCATAATTGAAAAAAAAAAGGGCAAAACAGAGCAGTTGAAGTCGAAGCCCAAAGAAGAAGAAAAAGGAGAAAGAGAGAGAGAGAGTCAGAGTCGAAGTCGAAGCCCAAAAAAAAAAAAAAAAAAAAAAAGAACTGAAGTTGAAGCAGAAGAATCGAAGTCGAAGAAGAAGGAGAAGGGGAGAGAGAGTCAGAGTCGAAGTCAAACAGACTTGTGAAGTCGAAGTCGAAGTCGCAGTCGCAGTCGAAGTCTAGCTCCAGCAGCCCAGTTGAAGTCGAAGTCTAGGGCGAGGCGAAAGAGGAAGAGACGACACATATTAGGGTTAATCTGAGTCGTATTTGGCTCATATGGTACATGAGTTGTAATCCTCTGTGATTACGAGCCATTCGAACACACCCCTACAGCCGTTAGATCTGATCTACCTCTTAAACAATCAGTCGCGCCTAGGCGTGAGCCTTGCGCCTCTCTCGCTTGGTTAAAGTCGCTGCTAAGGCGCGCGCCTAACTAAAAGTGTCTCGCCTGGTACCTGTTCAGTCGCAGGCAGTGCGCCTTGCCTCACCTTGCGCCTTGGCGCGCTTTTCACAACACTGGGTGAGCCAAGAGTCCAACTATGTTGCAGTGAGCTGGGGTGAATGGATAGAGAATATATTTCTTAAGTTAGGCCAATATTAAGCACTATCTTGTTTTGATGACATTTCTTGAAAGTCCTTAGTTGCAGGGGACTATAATGCAACTGCACTCTTGTCTTGATATGCCATCACCCCTGGTAATGTGTAGATGTTATTAACATCCAAGGAACTTGAAAGGCCGGCAATGAACTTGATTTCCCTCTTGATTGTAAAGTATGCTATGTATTGTTTTGAAAGAAATCTTGGATATCAATCATGCAAAACCTTTATTTCTAATATCATTCACTGAGTATCCAAGCTCACCCTCTCTATATATATGTAGGTGACGAACAAGAAGGCATTGAGGCCTAGACGTGATGCCGATGTGTTTTTGGGTGCATTGCCGACATGTTTTGGAATAGCATCTTTGTACCATCTTGAAGATCATGCTTCTCGGCTTATTTTTCATTTGTACTTGTATATGTCGGCTTGAGAAGCCTTTTGGTCAAGATGTGTTTTGTATTTCATTTCCTTCTTGTATTTTTGTTGTAAGACTTTATAAAGATGTATGTCATTTCATTGGACTTATGCACGGCTCTCATGGACTATTTAGATTCTGTATATATATATATCGCTTCCGCACTTGTAAGCCCCATATTTTATACTCTGATTGTGTGTGATTCTTGTAAGTCGGCCTTCGGTAATCTCGGATTACTGGCCATCACGGCACCAAACTACTAGGGGCGGTTTGGGGGCGTGACATGAACTCTCTAATCCCTTCTCTTACATGAGTTGGACACTTCGGGCAAGCAGTGACATTCCTATAACCTCCCGCGAGGTGTTGTTTCACCCGATAAACACCTCCATTTGATACTTTACCACAAAAATTACACTCGAACTTGTTTAAATTATTCTCCTCTACCAAATGGGCATATTGCCACACCAGATCTTTTTTATTACTTTTCGATGTCATTTTCTACACAACAAATTTAATAAATGAAAAATAATTTCAGTGTAATGTAATGTGTGATGAATTAATTATTAGTAATTTTTTTTCCCTAACAGATAAAGGAAAAAAATGTTAGGGAAAAAAAAAAGACCAATAACACATTGTATTAATTAATTATTTGTGAATAATTAACTATTTGTAAATTTTTTTTTCAGTGTATTTTTTTTAGTTAATTAATCAAAATCAGAATCTATTTTTTTTCCCTAACAGATAAAGGAAAAAAAAAGACCAATAGCACATTGTATTAATTAATTATTTGTGAATAATTAATTATTTGTAAATTTTTTTTAATGTATTTTTTTTAGTTAATTAATCAAAATCAGAATCTTATTTTGTATTAATTAATCAGAATCTTATTTTGTATTATAAAGGAAAAAAAAAAAAAGACCAATAGCAGCACATTGTATTAATTAATCAGAATCTTATTATGTATTTGTATTTGTATTTGTATTTTTATTTTCCTGACAGAGACTTAAAGGCATAATTGAAAAAAAAAAAGGGCAAAACAGAGCAGTTGAAGTCGAAGCCCAAAGAAGAAGAAGGAGGAGGAGAAAGAGAGAGTCAGAGTTGAAGTCGAAGCCCAAAAAAAAAAAAAAAAAAAAAAAAAAAAAAACAAAAAAAAACAAAAAATGGGGCAACTTTTCAAGGAAACAAAAAAAAAAAAAAAAAAAAAACAGAACTGAACTGAACTGAACTGAAGAAGAAGTCGAAGAAGTCGAAGTCGAAGTCGAAGTCGAAGTCGAGCAGACCAGAAGAGAAGGAGGAGAAGAAGAAGAAGAAGTCTAAGCATACCTGCGAAGTCGAAGTTGAAGTCGAGCAGCCCAGTCGAAGTCGAAGTCGAAGTCAAAGTCCAAGGCAAGGCGAGGCGAGAGAAGAAGAGACGACACAGATTAGGGTTCATTTTAGTCGTATTTGGGTTATATTGAACATGAGTTGTAATCCTCTATGGTTAGGAGCCATTCGAACACACCCCCGAAGCCGTTAGATCAGATCTAGCTGTTAAACAATCAAGCGCGCCTAGGCGTGTGCCTTGCGCCTCTCTCGCCTGGTTCAAGTGGCAGCTAAGGCTCGCGCCTACCTCAAAGCGCCTCGCTTGGGACATGTTCAGGTGCGAACTGTGCACCTCGCCTCGCCTTGCGCCTAGGCGCGCTTTTGACAACACTGCCCGATCCAATAGTTGAAACCACTCGCCTTCCATCGCTGTGTGCACCGCCTGAACCCCTACAGCCATGCCGCAATTTGCCACCGCCATGGGCCTAGAAATAGGCAGCCCCATCCCCCACACACCACCAGGTTACTTTACCCAACCATCACCTAAATCCAAACCCTTCAATAACCAAAGCCAGATCCCCCCACCCATCGCCAAAGGCAGACATCGGAAAGAAAAGCTGAGCCCTCCGCCTCCCCTCCGTCACCACTATTTGGATGGATGACCCACCAAGCTGAGCCCGCCGCTTCCCCTCCGTCACCACTATTTGGATGGATGGCCCACCCTCTTCCTCACGGCGAACCCAAACTGCTACACCACGGCAGCTGCCACTAAGCCGTCCCATAAATCGAAGGGTTCCGGGATCCAACGAGGCCTTCCACATTTTCGCCACCAGCCAACATACTTCAAAGCCAACAAGCAGTACCGCCCTTCTGAGCCCCTGACCCCTTTCCACAATAAATAAACTCCGACACCCAATTGCATCCACCGCCACCTCCTCCAATTTAAAAGACCGACCACCTAGGAAAAGGATTCGCCGGCGTGGCCCAACCTCTGACGTCAAGAGTAACAAATCGGCGTAACAAATCAATGAGTGGAACCTTCAAATTGGCATAATTTCAGACAACCAAAAGGCCAGCAATGGTGCTTAATTGGGCTATCAGTACAGTCATGGTGGTTAAAGTTATGGTACTATTGCTGCTTACTTTATAGCGTAGAGCTGAAGGTGACTTGGACCTCCAGGGCAGCTACCAAGATTGATGAGATGACTAAAAAAAGGTAACATCTTTGTGCAACCATAAAGAGCATACTCTTTCAGGTGGGTGTCTTACTCTTTCTATTTTTGCCCCTTGTACTTTCTCCTCTTCAACACACTTTCTTTATAAATAAATAAAATAAAAAGCTAAATAAATAAATTTTTATATGTAATCTGATTGACACATAAAGAGTTCCTTCCAGTATGAAAGAAGCTAAAGCAATTACATATTTTACTTTCCTTCCTATCTAGAAACATGATTTTTTTTTTTTTTTTTTTGATAAATTATCTTAAAACATAATTATAGTCCAACATTGTTTTAAACTTCAAGTCTTGATAACGTAGGAATGAGTAAATTAAGAGATATGACACAATGTACCAAAACAATAGAACGTTTGATAATTAGACATCCAGTTTGATAATTCCAGGACAATAGAAAGTACTGTCCTCTTCAACGCTGCTATCATGCCTATTTTCCATGTGAATTAAGAGATATTTTCCATGTGACCATGTTATTATTTACAATTTTCTATACCGAATGAGGAAACACTTGAATTTGCCAAGAAAGGACTACTTATTTAAAAGGTGAAGAGGATATCCCAAAATTTAATTTATACAACTCAACAAGGTATCAGTCCCAGCTATTCAGGGTCAACCACTTCCTAATTATTTCTATAATTGCAATCTTTAAATTTTTACATTTATTATCTTACTTTTCTTCAGCAACAGAAACTTCTCCTTAATAAGCTCTCTTTTATAATAAACTTCAATATACACGCAAAACTACTGATCATTCATAGTAATAGTATGGATTGCAACAAGAAGAGTATACACACAAAGCTCTCCTTTATAAGCTCTCCTTTATGACATCTTTTGGCATGCACTTGGTGTTATACATTGTTATTGCACAAAGTGGTGACACACTTATGGAGATTCAGGAGGTTAGCATCACAAGAGGTGCACTCCGGATTTTGGAACAAATGGCATCTGTTGCCTGGATTTCATATGCTCTATTTTGGGGATTTAGCTATTCCCTCGCTGGTTGTTTTCTAGTGTGTAATGTGTTTCTATGTAAACTTAGATTGTATGAGTAGGTTCCATTATTGACTAGGTAGAATCTAGGTGATGAGGGAACCTTCTTTGATCTTCTTGTAAGCATAGTTTTAGGGATGTTTATGCTTTGCCAGCTGATCTCCATCCGTAGTTTGTATGGCCTGGGGAATACCCTTGAAAATATGTAATTTTCTTTTCTTTTATTCCAATGCTTAATTACCACAAAAATACAAGATTTATTATTGAGCTTCGGTCTCTCTGCTCTTCAATGGGATTCCTTTTTTATTTTTAAAGATTGGTGTGTTGTATGGACTTGTAATTTTTCATTTTTTGGTGTCCTTATTCTCTATGTAGGTCCTTTCATTTATTTAAAAATATGCTGTTGCTTTTCACAATAAATAAATAATGTATCAAAACTTATAGCCGCTACGACACCAGAATCCTAACAGGAAATTTGGTGGATATTTTAAACTTAAATAATTTCCACATCTGTCAGACACAGAGAACCAATATGCCCAATGTTGGTTCAAAATGTACAAAAATTTATAGTCACTACCACACCATAGTAATAACAAAAAAATTGGCAAGCATATCTTCTAACAGAGTATATACCGAATGAGAAGTCCACAAAAAAACAATCATAATAACTCTTTAAGGCTAAATCTTCAATATGGGTAAAAATATGCAAGTATGGTTCCATTGGTCCACACAATACACAGGTCGTTCATGGGCCTACAAATTGGTCACTAAATTAACAAATGGTGGCAACATCCTTGATATGAAACCATCAGAGAAGCCAAGACAAATATACGTTGAATATTCAATGAGCACCTTAATTTATACTAGTGTGTCATGACTCTTTCACACAAATTTAAAATAAAAAGGAAACAAACATTTTTTTCTTTTTGGAGGAGACAGAATCTTCAACAATACATCACCTGCCACATATAAGGCATTACAATTCTCAGAGTGCCAAAGGCAGCGAAATCAATGGCCTTTTGTCACTTAGGCACCTAGGTGATGCCCAATGTTCATGTCACACAAGATACTACACAAAGAATGTTGCAAGATTTTTGCTGAATTAAAATTTATGTGTTTGTTATGTTTAAAGAGGAACAGAAACTGCCAACAAAAAATAGGAGTAGAACGAGGCAGCAAGGGGAAAAAATAGAAAAAGCATAAATTCCGAAATCAAGTTAAAAAGAAATTCAGTTCTTTTATGCATTAAGGAGGATACGGATCTTTGTACATCTATCCTGTTTGGGGCATCTTAATGAACTCCTCAGTTTTAGGAGAGAATACATATTGATCGACCACAATCAATAAAGGTCAACAGACACATCATCAAGTCACCAGTTCAGTTCACAAAGCATTACATGTCCACAAAACAATCACAAAGGGCATCCAAACAATACGAAGAGATGGCTCTAATATTAATTTCTTGCTTGTTCTCCATTTAGGTGAAATGAAAAATTATTTATATAATATAGTTACAGTTAAAATCTCTAATGAACTATGTATATATTGATAAGCACATGAAGGCAACGAGAATTGAACCAGAAACTAATGAACCACATATAGAACATTCTAAGTTGCGATATAAGAAGCACTCCAATGAAAATTGTACACAACACAACAGCAATGAAAATTGTCTAAGGCCTCACCTAGGTGCTAGGAAATGGGCATAGAGATTATCTTCTTTGTTCTTAACTATGAAGCCCATACCGGGCACTGGTACTTGTACCCGTACCAATAGGACTGCATGCATACCGGGTACTCGAAATACATACTAGGTACTTTTTATACATTCTTTGGTAGTTGGGCACTCCACGCGTACTTCATGGGTATGGGATTGGTACATCGAGAGTACACCAAGCTATGGGACATTAGTGGAGATACGTTTAATTTATTATAGAGTTCTGATTTACTTGAAATTATAAATCCTTTATTTGATGTACCAGAGATAAAAGATGTATTATTCAATGATGAATTTGATGGAAGTGAAAATTGAAGTTTCAAGTTATAAAATTTTCAAATTTCACTTAGCTTGCTTTTGGAATGAAACTCTATTTTGTAATTTTTCCTATTTAGTGGCATTAAAGTAGCTTATACACTTTGCTTTGGTATTAGCATTGTTGAACTATGATTTCTCTTTTGGTTTTAGAAATTCTCCCTTTACTTTTGGTATTGAACTTTGATTTGTAGATTGAATCTCAAAGTATAAATTACAAAAAATAAAAATTTTATTGACGTACCCCAGCCGTACTCGTATCCTATTTTTTAAGTCTTCCCGCATCGACATACCCGTACCAATATTTGTACCCACACCCGTGCTTCATAGGTTATCATATTTAGTAAACCATACATATGTATTACTTGGACCACACAGCATGCCAAAACTCAATAGTTCTTTGGGCTTCATCACCTCACCACATTTCAATTATTTAAGGGTTGTTTGGGATGATCTAAATAAGTGCACTTTTTGTCTTTTTATGAAAAGATGTGCCAAAAAGTAGGGAGGTGATGTGATGAAAAAAAAGATAAAAAAATAAAAAAATAGATTATTTAAGGGATGCCAACCCACCCCTTAGTATCCCTTCAAATAATAACAATGCTTGTTTTCAAGGTTTGCTGGCATGGAGCTTCCTTCTTCTAAATTTGCAATATAATAAGCTCAAGTTCGATGAAACAGGAACATATTAACTTCACATAGGCTAATATGCAACATAATTCAAAAAAAAATAAAAAAAATAATAGGAGTTCTGATACCAAAAGGCCATTTTAAAAGGAAGTTTTCAATAGGAGTCGATAGTCTGCACAGACCCAAGCATGTTTAGGAAAGCAGAACAAACCTGACATAAAGGGATAGCCAAATGATGAAAGCAAGAGACTCTTGAGGTACCTTCAGTAAGCCAAATCCTATATTTCCTAGCATTATTCCCCTTTGGAACCAAAAACCTTCATCTTTTTTTCATTAGATGTCAAAAGTTCCTCATGTCTGCTTCTTGCATCACTCAACTCTTCTTCACTCATATGGGCTGGATCAAGTCTGTAATTATGAATAGCGAGGCTCTCAGTTACAGCTTTCTTGCTTAACCACAACACTATTTCCATTTGCCCTCAATGCAGCTCTTCTTTTTGCTTGAATTTGTTGCACATATTCTGCAACTATAACATGGAATTTGGGAGCAAGCTTACTAGATGAGGGGATAGGAAGACCTGCCTTCTTCAGGGCGCGATGCGCTTTCTGGAGGTGAACATTGCACAATGCAGGAACCTTGGACCTCACTATAGGCCTGCCACAGGTAATTTGTCCCATCTGTGCACTAGATTAACAACAATGTAATTAATAAAGAGATAATATCCAATATCATTCACGATACAAAATGCCTTACATATACATAATACATAAATCTATTTAATGAAGGACAAAATACCATATAATTAGTTATTCACTGGATCTACAGTCCTATATTGAAAGTGTTTAATAGGAAAGAAACATGCCACCTGGCATTTTCTGAGAGCTATTACACTAATCTACATTTCTTGAATTCAGAACAGCCAGGATAATTGAAATTCTTTGACATAATCAACTAACAGGAGTAACGTCAACTTCGAATTCTGCAAGATCCGACAGAAAAAGTTCACTTCAAAGTTTGTTTCATAATAAGTATAGTAGTTTGAATCCTGTTGCTCTCAAACTTCAGATGTCTAATAATACCACCCTTATTAAGTGGAAAAAGGCTAGTATGAGAATTTCTCTCATAATTAGCAAATTTTCAGACCTTTCCCATTGAAACAGTTAAATAAAAAGTCGCAAGCATCTACAACTCGTATAAAAGCAGTTGTTAGGTAAGTGCCTGCCCTCGGTAAGGGACAATATACCAAACCCATGCATACTTCATGTTTACCAAAAAAATAATAATCAAACCAAAAAGAAAACTACACAATTCTTTCAAATTACTTAGGCCTGGCAATCTATTCAGACACAATAGCTTTAAGAAGCCTCCAACTGGCCTAGCGAAGAATGAGCTCTAGGCAAAGGCACTACATAGATCATTTTTGCTTTATTTGAATAATCTCAGGGAAAATCTCTATTTACGTCAAAATTGTTGCCCTTATTTCCATCATCTTGGAGTGTTTATCAGGGAACATCCAACTCATGGGAGATTGCTCCAATGACATCAATACTCAGATGACAAGAAGTCCCAATAGACATAATATATTGGTACATGCATAGGGTTTGTAATCTGGTCACTCTATTGAGCACTACAATAATTGGGTATTGTCCAAAGTTGCCCTTACTATTTATTACCATTATAGAATGCTATATATTTAATTTTGACACATGCCAAGCTATCTTTTTCTTTTATTTCTTTTTCCTCTTTTTGAGTTTTCAGATCTATTCTTAAATCCAACTTTGCTAGCGATTTTGCATTCTCTTTTTATTCACTTTTGTAGAGTGCAAAATGTTATGGTATAGACCTCTTCTTCTTCACCTTTCTTGATGAAATTCAATACTGTTATCATCAACTTTTCTATCATATAATATTATATTTACATTTTACATAGAGTATTATATTTTTCACAATATTTCCAATAACTTTTAGAAAAAATTAAGCTTATTTTATGTATACTTTCTAAGAAATGTTTATTTAAATTAAATTATGAATTTCCTATTTTGGTGGAATCTTAGGATCCTCGACCTGATTTCTACGATTTGATCTTGCAAACCCCTTCGACAATCCATTGTAAGATCCCGATTTTGACAACCTTGCTCTTAACCAACAACCACATGATGCCGACGACAATATGTTATTCTCC